ATTGGTCTGATCCGTATCACTTCATTACAAGCGGAGTCAAACACCAGTCTCCCCAGCGGTCATTACGTAACCCCACTCTGCGTTTTCTGTGGTTTCATGTTTACTCTGCTCCTCACTAGTTCGCCACCACATCTAAGTGCTCTAATTACAACAGTATAAACGGGTTACTTGGTTTGTTGCATCATTTAGGTTTAGGGTGCTTCTGCTACGGATGCAGCGATATTTTCCTTATCAGTGACCATGTCTAAGATTGTCTTCATTATTTATTTGGGCTTTTAAATATCAGGAATAATTTTAAAAAACTGCCATCACTGTTTTCTACAGCTCCAGTAGCATCACGTTGCCTGATTCATCCAATGAGCAGTCCAAAAGCCCACATACTCAATAGATGTAAATATTGAAAAGTAGTACATCTTCACATCAGAGGAACTGTAAGTGGAGAATGTTTTAATATTTTTAAAAGAAAAATGGCTCATTGGATCAAACTTTTATTCATCATCTGTCAACAGGGATGTTTGAAGTTTTTCTCACACATCCAAAAACAAAGTGAACCTTATATGTATGTATAACTGGAAATGTTTGAGACTAATCAGATTCTTAGAGTACCATCTGGAAGGTCCTAAATTCATTCTGCAGCATGACAATGACCCAAAATATACAGTCAGAGTCATAAACTAAGGAATCCAGATTGTCCAGCAGAAATCTAGCTTATCTTAACTAGGTTACTCATCCAGCATATAAAGTCAGGTTTCTCATTTACATGATGTGAAATTACATTACTGAACAAAGTTAGCTTCAACCAGGTCACAGAATGTTGGCATTACCATGCTGCAGATCGTAGGGTATCTATATAAAAGAGGTGTATCTCCAGGTGGAAAATTGTATATTATAGGTTACTCTGCTCTGTATAACCACAGTGGATAATTAAAAGCTCCTTTAACTAATGCTAAGTATCATTAAAAATTCAACTCTTTGTTTCTTTCTTGATCATTTCAGTAGTCAATGATAAAAGTTAAGAAGCNTGATATATCCATCGAGCAATGGGAAAGTTTTGGAATATACATGTCAGGAGGAAACAGCCAGACAATATAAAACTGACATTGAAATGATATTGTTTTTGACACTCGGAATGTATCACCAGACATCATGGCATTGCGCCTGCCAGGAACTATGAACTACCCTTCTTTTATTGTCTTTTATTGTCTATTTTTTTTTTGTCTGTATCTGATTTGCCTACATGCCTGTCAACCATGTTAAGGGGTTATGTGTTAAATGTTTTTGGAATCTTTGTTATGTTTGATATAATGAAAATATAATAAAAAACTTTGAATTAAAAAAGCTCCTTTAACTAATGCTAAGTATCATTAAAAATTCAACTCTTTGTTTCTTTCTTGATCATTTCAGTAGTCAATGATAAAAGTTAAGAAGCGAAAGTGAGCTACTTCTGTCAAACCAACAGTCCAACACCTGTACGTACTCAGTTCATTACCATATACGACGCTTGAGAAGCACGGAATGAATGGAACTACCAATCTGTTATCAAACTACAGTTTCATTTTCTTTCAGACAGATAAGTGCCACTTTTCCTTTCGAACAACACAGACTATACACTGATTGAAACATACCAACTCATTAAAACAGTGAGAGAAAATACAAATAGGTGGGAGGCAGTTCTGAAATTATATAATATAAAAAAAATTTGGGACACCTGTGATTTTGTGACATCCTCACAAAAAATATCAGCGTATTGGTTGGCGATGAAACTCACTCTGATTCACTGAGCATTTTAGAGAAATAATGGAAACAGACCGCTCATCATCTTGTACGCTGTTTCGTAATTGAGAAGATGTGAAAGCAGACAGCAGCATAAGGTTAAACAAACTGGTAGAAAAGGCTGACTGACTGTGGTGTCTGAGAGAAGAAAGATGACCGAGCTGTTTGGTTGTCTTGGATGCAGCCTCTCCATGACATCACCCATTAATTTGAAGCCTTTATTCTGGCATTTTAGCTCATGCCATGTTGTTGTTTTTTTGCGCCAGAAGTGGCTGTATTTGCATGAAGATGGATGGACGGTATGCATGATTATATGATGGCAATTTGTCATGCCCTAAACTACACCCTGCTTTGTCTATTTTACTCGAATGGCACCGTCATTTAGAAAATGAGCATCATGCTGTATTGAAGTAGACTTGAAACCATCAACCGAGTAGGAAAATGTTTACTGAAGTTATATATTAAGTGAGAAGTACAGTCACTCTATACAGTTGTTTTTGCAGCTAGTGGAGTCGCCTGCAGCTGGTTGTCTGATAGAATCCAGCTTTAAAGAAGGTTCTCATGGGCTTCACTTTTCAGACCCGGAGGCTACATCCACTTCTTTTATATAGTCTCTGTTCACAACACTCTGGTCAGGCAGAGGAGACAGGCTGGTTCCCCTAAGGTGTCTGCTGAGAGCCACGGGAGGTTCTTTCTTCCAACAGCTATTATGTGATGAAGAGCTGTATCTCAGTGTGGGGTACTGTTCCATACTCCCACACTGCCATAACAGCTCTCTACCCACCAGTCATCAGGACCGCTGTTTGATGAATACAGGCCCTGATGCCCACATTTTTTTTCTTGCCTCTCTGCACTTGAGCTCCGTATTCATTATTCATAACACCTTGTAGTTAATAGTTTTTTTTTTCGTTTTTATGCGGCGGACAGTGTTACAGTTCTACAGTAGTGCCCTACAAAGAAAAACAACGTAATTAGTTAGTACAGAGTTATAACCTCCATCTGATTTACTGGCTTCTTTGTTACTATTACATACAAATATTCTGCAATAGATATGTTTGATTTCTGTGAAAACTCTCTTTCAGTAACTACAATGCTGAGCTAACAAACAAAACACACCCTGTGCATTTTGTCTGTGTGGCTGCTGTTACCGCATTCTGGTGTAGCTGCCGTGGAAGCACAGCTACAGTCAGTCTAACAGTATTCAACCTTTATGGACAGCAACAAAGTACATTTTTGAATAATACCAACATCAAGTGTAAGAGTCTTATTCAAGCAGCATAAACAAGCTCAATGTAGAGAACATTTCCAGGCATTTCTGTCCATCATGTAATAAAGAGGTTTAGTTAAAAGCTTGAGTTCATTCTTCCATCCATTGAGGTGGAGCTTAACCTTTAGATATTTACATCTACAGCGCCATCCATAATCATTGGCACCCTTGGTTAAGATGTGTTCTTTAGCTTCTAGTAAATTCAGTTTTTTTCTAAATAATATAGGACCACAATGAAAAAAAAGGAAAATTCAACCTTTAATTCAGGTGCATTTATTCAGTGTAAAAAAAAAAACCCATATTAAAAAATAATTCTTTTACATCAAATCATGTGTGCCACAATTATTAGCACCCTTGATGTGAATACTTTGTACAACCCCCTTTTGCCAACAGTTCATCTAAGTTGAGTTGAAGGTTACAGTTTTCTACAATTTTCAGTGTGAGAGGATACTTCTGCAATAAAACTTGAATTTGTTTTAAGGCTTTTAACACATCTTAACCAGGGGTGCCAATAATTATGGAAGGCGCTGTTTGTATAACTTGTTTACCTAACAAAATCAAATGGTTCATGTTTTTCTCCTTCATTAGCACAAATCAACGTTATTTTAATGAGTTATCAGTATTGTACAGTATTTAAACTGAAGCTCTGAAATAACAGCCATGATTCCTGCACAGTTCACACTGAAAGAAAATATGTTTGACAGTCTCAGCGTCTCCCTCGCAGAATCCTCACAAGTATCCTCCAAGTAATTGGATGGATAGATGTCATTTATAGTTAAAAATGATTCTGAATGTCACTTGTTTTGGCTGTAGATACGATTTCATAACACTAAATACTGTTCTTTTATTTTTTTTGCCTCTTTGCCACTATATTTATGAAAAACATGTTTCCTTTCTATTTATCTGTTCAAAGACAGCAAAAGCCATAGAAAGTCAGCTGTGAAAATGACCGTAGCCAACCGAAGTTTAAACTAAAGCTAAGCTTACTTAAAGATTTTGTCCCAGTTGGTATCTGTAAACGAAAGATATACGTTTGGATGAAGTGATATTTTAATCATTGAGTTTGTAAGTAAGTAAGGCAGCAGCTCAAACAGTTCATGATGGTATGGTAAAGGCAGCTAGGTTACAGATCTCAGTAGTGATGCTCATGAATTTCATATGATTTGTTGGTTAGGCACCTTAAATCACATATTTAAATGTATTGTAAATGTTTGTATTGTGGTGATTTTAGTATAAATTCAGATGGTACACTCAGGCAGATGGAACCTTTGAACTATAAATTATAATAAAACTAGTCGAAGAATATCAGAAAGCAGAGAGAAGACAGTATTTGATACATACTGCAGAATATTACATCAAAAAGAATTCCTCATTATTCTACCATTAATAACTTCTTTAGCTTTACATTTCTGTTACGCAGACTCCCAAATAGAAATTGATGGATGGAAGAACCAGCTGTATATTGACAGTATGGACAAACAGAATGGCAGTAATCAAATAATACATAAATATATGTATGATATTTTGAGGAAGAGTGTTGTGGAAATTGTCAGAAAAAACAACAAAAAAAAGGAAAGAGGACAAATCAAAACAACAACAGAAAATATATCTAAAAAATTAGCACAAAAAGAAATGTATTATGGAAAGTACATTTTACATTTACAATTACACATTTTTTGTTATGTTCATTTATTTATTTATTTTTGTTGATTACCTCTGTTGCATGTGCTGTCAGTGTGAAACTGTGTGACTCCAACTATCCCTAAATCTGTTTAAATCTGTCTCAAATTTACTGAACAAAAGGACAAGGTTGTTGCATTTTGATGAACAGTTAATAATGCTTAGAATATGGACAGCAACGACTGTGTGTTTCAAACTGGTTGGAGCACCAGAGGATGGCAGGAACCCACATTTGCTTGTGATACAATCCTAACTACTACTTTCTTCTCATGCCCTGCAGTGGAGGAGTCTGACATTATAGACTTGGAGAAGCGCTATTGGCTGTTGAAAGCTCAGTCCAGAACCGGCCGCTTTGACTTGGAAACCTTCGTCCCGCTGGTCTCTCCTCCCATCCACGCCTCACTGAGTGAAGGTAGGACAGCATGAAGCACATGACACACAGCCACAGTTCTGCAATAGTTACAAAATGCGCCTTAAATGTTGTACTTTTTTTCATTGGGTTTTGAATTCATGCTTTCACCAGTGAATACAATCCTCTTTAAGGCTTTTCTTTTTGTATAACTATTACGTGTTTCATTGATCTTGTTTTCCAGGCTTGTTTCACGCCTTTGATGAAAATCGGGACAATCACATCGACTTTAAAGAGATCTCTTGTGGACTCTCGGCGTGCTGCAGGGGGCCCGTCGCTGAAAGGCAGAAATGTAAGCCATGCTCTGGTTTTCAATCATTACAGATAAATAAGTCCCAGAGGCTTCACATAATCACGCCAAGTGGTTTTATCATAAGAGGTGCAGTGTATTTCCTCGAAGCTGTTATCTGGAGTTTATTTACATAAAGTCAAAAAGTGGAATTGTTTTTGGAAAGTGTTGATTGGTGTGGCACAATCACAAGCATTGTTGTCATCAGAGTTTCCACTGGTGCTTGAAATTACATTTGCACTCCAGAAATGCAAATGTATTGAATTTTCTGCTAATAGACTGAACAGCAGGTTGCTTCAGTGTCGTGCTTCTAAGCCACATTCATGCTTTGTTCTGTGTCACCGCCAGTTTGCTTCAAAGTGTTTGATGTGGACCGCGATGGGGTTCTGTCTCGAGATGAGCTCCATGAAATGGTGGTGGCCTTGCTGGAGGTGTGGAAGGACAATCGCACAGACACACTCCCTGTAAGTAAACACACACACACACACACACTGACTGTAGAGTTATCAAGGCTACACTAAACGTAAAGCTTCCATCATTTAGAATGGTCACTTTTTTTTTTCTTTTTTTTAAAAATCAAACCCACTGTCTTTTTTAATACTTATTTTAAACACAGAAAGACATACTAGTATATATTTTAAGATTTCAGATTTGGTTTTTTTTTGTTTCTTGTGAAAACACATAGTTACTGGTTTCCCCACAAAGCTGCACAGGGAAGGAAACAGTGGTCACCAGTTGCTCAAAAGCTGCTGCCCTATTTATACTTAGTACATTATTCATTTAACCTGTACATTATCAGAAATGTAAAGGCAACCGTTTGTGGGTATTTCCGGAGATTAAGGTGGGGTCTGTGATTCTAGAGAAAGTTTGCTGATATTTAACCCTCTGAACCTCAAGAAGTTTCTGGACTTTTGTCATAATTTCACCTACTCTGGGTTCATTTTTACTGCACTGTAAAGTCCTGCATCTCCGTGGAAACAGAACAACCATGGCTAGAAGTACACGGAACTCAAAAATGTCATCAATCATAAAAATAAGAAAAACCTTCAGTTATTAAAAAATATGTAATTACTGTTTATTATACAAAAATTGTTAGAAATCTGGAATGTATAACAAGTCCTCATAAATGTTACCAAGGCTGGAAAATAACTATTCATATTATGCCTACTGTTTAATTTATTGCCATCCTTGTTGTCCATCTGTTCTGTGCCAGAACAGTTTGCAGTTTGGCCCAGTTCTCACCAAAGAGTGCAAAAAAAATATTATTATGATGTAGTGTTTATTTTGTTTTTGTTCTTTTTTGTTTTTACAAAATCTCATTACTGCAAATGATTAATTCTTGGTACATTTTTATTTCAAATTTTCTTTATTATTTTTTTGCACAGAACCAAACAGAGTCACAGACAGTATTATTGACACTCGTAATAAACAGCAGTTCCATCATGAAACAATATTCAAAACTCAATTCTTGGTGCATTTTTAATGAGAAACTGAGAACAAAGGTCCTTTCATTCAATGTAACTAGTTATAGCTTACATTTACAACAAAAACTGAACCTCACACATTAACTTTTGGAAAGCTGAAAATCTACAGTTTCTTGCTTTAATACATGATGTAATATTGACTTTTTTTTAAATAGAAATAACACGCCTTTCAAAGCTGGCAGCAGGTTTAGGGCTCAGAGGGTTAACGAGTTAGAATATTTATGTAGTTAGCATGACCAGATTTGTTTTCTGTCTTAACCCCACTGCCTTCCTTCCTTTCATCCTCCCTCCTTCTCCCTTTCCTGCATCCTGTACATGAGCAGAAATATGCACAGGACACACTGGAATAATGTTGTGTGGATCGATTGGAGTCACTTTGTTTGTTTCCCATTTACAGAGCCAGGGCAAGTATTCTCTGAATTTGACAAGAGCAGTATAGATTAGAATCACATACTCCACCTTTACAAACCTTTATGTGAAAACCAACATCCAACATTTATCCATCTGAACAATTCAGAGCATCTCTGAGTACAGCTCAGGTTTCCATATCCAGTGGGTGAGCAATGGTTTTGGTTTCTGTACAGACACAGTGTTTCAGAACCAGACGTCGTCACTGTAGCAAGACTGCAAGGAGCTGCTCACAGTCACTGCTCCTGTCTGTTGTTTGTAAGGAAATCCTTCCAGCGCATAACGCTCAGAAACAACATGTGAATTTGTCTGATTTAGAATCATTACGGGGCATCAATTCCAAAAGAGCTAAGCTGTCTGGTTCTGCCTTATGATTTATGGTATTTTTTTGCCTTTGTTTTTTTTAAAAAAAAAGGTAATGCTGTTAAATGAAACGTTTTCCAAAGTCTAAAATGATGAAGCAGAGCAGGGATTGAAGTTGAAACTATTATGTTGTTATGGTTTTTATGATTTAGCAAGCAGACAGACATTCACGTTCATCCATAAATCTCAGGTTCTTTTTCCTGTTTTTCCGTCCAGGACTGTTGTGATCTTTTTCACAGCTGAGGATAAGGTGCGTGGTGTTTGCTGCTTCATGCTGATGTGTTGTGTTGCCTTTGCAGGAGCTGCACAGTAGTGTGTCAGACATAGTCGAGGGCATCCTGAAGATGCACGACACAACCAAGGTGAGACACAATTCTTGGTAACTCAATTTTTATTGGTGTTCTTTACTTTACAAAGGTTTTAAAGTGATAAGTTCAAAAGAAAATATGCAAATAGTTTATATGTATTAGTTTGCTTCATTTAAAAACACAAAATTATGTCAATCCATGATGCGAACCCCCTTTAACCCAGCATCTGGTCTCTTTACTACACTTGCACAGTTTTTCAAGCTAGGTAGGATGTTCAGCACCGTAAAAACATGCAGACATCTTTGCACATTTATGAGAAGACTTCAGGCTACGTTCAGACTTAATACCATCCAGACAAGCTTTTTAGCACCATTTCAGAACTATTGCTCCATCCATACTAACAAGCCTGACCATGCACATCACATAACCTTTTACCGACGCTGTGCAGACACATGTTAGTGCAAACAGGAAGTAGAGGTTTGGTTGCTTAGACAATACTACAGAGGAAAAACAGAACAGGTGAAAAGTGATGACAGAATGTGCCCATAATAGACATGAATAGCAATAAGACAGCAGTTTGATAGAATGTTTGGTAGTTTAACTTCAATGTATTAAGTGAAAACTGCCATTAAAGCACATAACAAAACTCAAAGTTCAGTTGTTTTGCAGAACTTTTGTGCTTTCAAGTGATGAAAATAGTGTGAATGCAGCCACATTTGTGTATTTTCTGTCTCTCGTGTAATCCCAGATTGACTCCATGATGTTGAGATCAGGGTTCTGTTGAGGTCAGATCATTTGTTGCAGGACTTCTTGTTTTTCTTGTTGCCAAAGATAGTTCTTGGATGTTTGAGCTAATTTTCCTGTTGCAAATGGAACTAGGGATGATCAGACTCCTTCCTGGTGATGATCATGTGTGAGGGATAAGAATCTACACATCTTAAGTGCCTACAACCTTTGCACAGAACTGCAGTTATCAGATTATCACCTTGGCTCATAGAAAGTCACCATCGCTTCACGCTCAAGTTCAGCTTCAGCCTTCTACACATTTATGTTGTTGCAGTATTATCAGTGGGAGCTGCCCAGTACACTTACAGCAGCCTTTTAGTCTCAAGCCTTCTTGTCTTACCACAAGACTATTTTTATACACAATAGCCATTAGCAGATGAATAGATTGTCAAAGCAGTGTTTATTTTGAGAATAGTCCATTTGAGCATGCTGACCTTTACGTTGTTGTCCTCACCAGCTGGGTCACCTGACCCTCGAGGACTACCAGATCTGGAGTGTGAAGAGCGCTTTGGCCAATGAGTTCCTGAACCTGCTTTTCCAGGTCAGTACACCCACATGTTGTAGTTCGGCAACTTTTAGTGGTGATGAAACTGAAGTGATGTATCTATTTATCATCGTTTTACATGTGTTTTCTGTGCCGATGTGTATTTGTCTTGGTCCAGGTCTGCCACATAGTTCTGGGGCTCAGGCCTGCTACTCCTGAGGAGGAGGGGCAAATCATCAGGTACACACCTGTCTTCTTTATCTGTTGTGTCATCGTATGTATTGTATTGTATGTTGCATGTGCTGTCAGACCTAATGAATGTCTCATAATTGTTTTGTGCAGGGGCTGGTTAGAGAGGGAGAGCAGACATGGGCTGCAGCAAGGCCAGAACTGGTTCCTCATCTCCATGCTGTGGTGGCAGCAGTGGAAGGACTACGTCAAATATGTAAGTCAAATAAAACGATGAACTGTGTAGATAGAGATATGCACAAATATTAACACTTACTATTTTAAACAGGCATTACACTTTGTATTTCCTTTATATTGGAAAATGATGTCATCCTGAGATCTGATTGGCTCTGGTTGAGTTTCCAAATGGGAATACAGCCGTCGGCGAGCACAACAACAGACCTATTTAACAACAGACTCAGATTTAACAACAGATTCAGATTTAACAACAGATTTAAAGGCACGGAATCAGGAGATATTGTCAGAATGATTTAATCAGAAAGCAATTTTAGAAATAGTGGTCGTAAATATGTTCAATTCAATTCAATTTTATTTGTATAGCACAGTTCACAACATATGTCATCTCACAGTGCTTCACATAGTAAGGTGAAGAGCTTACAAATTTAAACAGAGAACCCAACAATCCAAAGCTGCCTTTGGACTCCCTCTGAGCAAACGGTCGGCAGTGGTGGGAAGGAACCAAACAGGGGAGGGGAAAGAAAAAAAAACCTCAGACAGAACCAGGCTCAGGGAAGGCGGCCAACAGGATTCATGTGACTTAGTAAAGACATGATTTGATGTTAAGGTTGAAGAACCCACAAAAGTTTGTTCTTTGAAGCAGGATTTGTGGTTAGCGAGATAACTTCAGGTTTAGCCAGGCTACGACCGTGGTTTCACTTCTTATTGGGATAAAACTGCCGTGGAAGCTTATGCCGTACACCTAACCTGCAGGCTATGTTCAAGGTAAGAGATCAGTGTGATTAAAAGCACTGCCTGCTGACCAATCAAAAGTGGCATCATTTGTAAAAGATTCCATGAGTTCAGTGCGTGGACGTTGGAGGGTGTCTGTAGAGGGCCAGAGTTTCAGAGCTGCAAGCATTTTCAGCCATTTCATTGTTCTATAGAGTATAGCGGTATAATCCAAGGACAGAGACTGATTAAAGCCATAAAACCTTGTACTTGTGCTGCTTTTTGAGATTTGCAGAAAGTCTCCTTACTGGTTTGAATTGTGTTTTTTGTATTTGTTTTTTACCTGCTTCTGAGTCCGTTTAACACTGTTAGGTTAGCTGCTGAAAGAATAAGGTAAAAATTATTTTGCAGAGCCATAATAATACATCTAAGCAACACATTCGTTTGATGGAATACACAACTGTAATTATAGTCAGATCGGCATGTGCCTTAATGATGGAGTGGTGATATTGATAAGCCTATTAACTTATACATTCACATAGCGTGCAGTCTTTTGCCAGCTTTTGTTCCTGCTTTGCCAGCTGTGTTGCTTTCAGATTGTTTATATTTTTAAACACATCATTATGCTTTAGGATGTGGATTGAAATGTGCAGCTCTAGACCCGTCTGTGTGATTGGTCACCTGGTGTCAACACCGCCCCTTTATGTGAATACAGTCACGGCTACATGAGGAGATCCTGGGTTGATTTAAGGAGTTGATAGCGACTGATGACCTCTTAGCCTGAGTGTGGTTGTTCGGCTTCGTGAAGGCGGATAACGAAAACATATCATGTTGAATTTACTTCATAGCAGAGGTCCCTGCTGTAGGAAAGGCAGAGCTCACAGCAGCTTGAAGACCATTTTCACCTCAAGGCTTTTATCGGAGCAAATGTGATGCTTATCATGTCATCTTTTCTTATTATATCATTAGGAACCCTGCTTGGCCACTGACAGGACGTTGTCTGGCTTGGTTTTCAGAAACTTAAATGTACAAACTGATTGAAAGTTCCACACAATTTTACATTGACTCATGAGGATTTATTTGTTTATTTTTTTGTCCATCTACTAACTAACTCATAATGATTTAAAATATAAGTGTGTCTCTTTTCAAGAAACATAATCTCTGTAATTGTTTGATTTAATTCATCCTAACTTTCAGTGAGTTTATCAAATGAGATCGTCTTGTACAATCACTTGGACAGAAACAGTGACTACCATGAAAGCCAACACCACATTAATCCCAGCTATCACTTTAAACGATGACAGGGCAGTCCCTGCTCTTGTCTTCCTGTCCAGGAGCATAAGGGCATCGTGGTGGAGCAGCCATCCATCCTGAGCTCGCTTCGAAGTCCGATGGCCACGGCCATTGTGGAGCCTGCCCCGCCTGACAGACTGGGAGGACTGGGAGCCTTCAGCCCTGTCAGCCCCACAGAGGAGAGGTCGCCTGATGCTGTGTCCAGCGCCTCGGAGGCCACAGAAACTGGTCAGTTGTCGAATATCAAAGCTAAAATACAGTGCTACTCCTAAGAGGTGTTATTTTATACATGAGCAAGTGTCAGAATCCACATTACTGGGTTAACTGGGTTCTTGCTTTGGGTTCACAGTCTTCTTTCCAAGTACACTGTCCAGTAGAAAGTAACGCTTACTCTGGGTACTCAGTTACATTAGATGCTGAACTGATGTAGAAATGACCACACCATTGTCTGTCTGTAAAAATCTTAGATCACACAAGTCATCAATGGCTCCCTCACCAAATTCTTCTAAAGTACTGTTGATGTGACTGACTTTCTGCTTTCTGTGACACAGTTTTAATTCTCTTACAAATTCCGGCTGCATCAACTTTGCTGTGAATTCACAAATTATTAAGCTTCTTTTATTGAAACCCAACACTTCCTGAACATGTTAAAGCGCGCTCTTCCAGTAAGCCTTTATTTGTATTAAATGTAGAATTTTACTAACACAAGTGTGACCCCCTAAACCACAAACAGTTTCTGGGTGTTTTTTTTCCTCTTGTCATATTTTTACTCACTGGGTTCATTTTCTATTGAAATGTAAAGTCCTGCACCTCTATGGAAACAGCTCAACCAGAGAACCACTGCAACTAGAAACCAAGATGGATTTTATGTATTTATTTACTTACGTACATACTTACTTACTGACTGACTTGCTTACTTACTTACATACATACAGTCGTGAGTCGATGATCCGACCCTTAACAATCTGAAAACCTTGCTATCCGACAGGTTTTTAGGAAAAACTAATGGAACCCATAAAAAAACAGCCTTAACATACTGACAGCCTTGGATTCTGACTCCGACATAATCATTACATAATCATTCTGCTACTTTGAAAACAACTTAAAGAATTTGCTACACATGATACAGAGCAAACTTCATGTATGTTCATGTTATTACTGTTAGCAGGCTCAACCATTCTAATGATGTCTCAATAGATCTTAATAAAAAAAAATCAACTGGTCAGCTGCAGCTCATCCAGAATGCTCACTGACACATTACATCAGTTCTTAAATCACAGCACTGGCTCCCTGTGTGTCAAAGGATCGCCTTAAAATGCTCCCGCTTGTCTATAAAGCACTAAATGGTCTCAGGCCTGAATACATATCAGATTTATTTGAACGTTATGAAGCGTCCTGACCCCTCAGGTCATGCAGGACAGGTTTACTCATTGTTACCAGGAAACAGACAGAAAGCTTTTAACTTCAGTGCCCTTCAACGTCTGCTAAAACTCTCAGCTCTTTAAAGTCAGCTTATTGTATACTGCAGCTTTCTAATAAATCAAATCATATTTTAATTATTTATTGGCTTGTTTTTAAATTTGCTGATCTTTGTATTGTCTTTTTAATGAAATTTTAATGTTTTTTTCCCCCTGTGTGTGAAGCTTTTTGAATTGGCTTGTATCTGAAGGTGTTGTATACATGCACTTGCCCATGTTTTGCATGTTTTGTGCACCATTAGAGACTCCAGTAAAACTACACCACACCCATCACAGTGACAGCCTGTAATAGCAGCTGGCTGTTATTTGAATACTGGTTTTTATTTGAGGGTTTGTAGTATAATATTACCTCAGGCTATAACAGAACCTGGCTTTTATTTGTTCAAGCTCACCGATGTTATTTGTAACTCAGTCATGAGCTGATTATGAGCTTTTACAGTTTTACAGTCAGAATATACAGTAAGAATATTCATTATTCAGAGATGAGATGTTTGTTTTTATACAATTGAAAAAAAGTTTAAACTTGTGCAATACGTAGCAGTTAATTTTGTTTGTATAATTCCTTCTAACTTGAAACCTGAACACATTTAACACTTTGTAACTGTGTTATGGATGATTTTTTTTTTTCTGACAGAATGTGTGTTTGGTTGCTAACTCTCATGCCTTCCCTCTGTCCCCCCCTTTGCCCCCTCAGCCCTGAGCCCCCAGGTAGCTCCCTCAGCTACAGAGAGCTGTTTTGCCCGTCAGCACAACGTATCAGACAACAACAATCAGTGTTTCTCTGGAGCGAACGGCCACCTCCCCTCCCAGCTGGCAGCGCAGAGACCTGGAGCAATCGACAACCAGCCTCTGGTCAACACCGACCCCATGAAGGCAAGGACTACTGTGTGTGACTGCTGCTCAGTTTGTTTTGCTTATGAGCAGTACAGAGTCAGTTGAATTGAGTGTGCGGTTTGTGTGGCGCACACTGTCCCGCTCACTCAGTGTAGAGCCGCTCATTGTTATAGCTGCATTTTACAGTGTTTTAAATCCAGTGAAGCAGGTTAAGTAGGGTGCAATATTGTTTCAGCATGGATGTGAAACACTGAAAAGGCAGATTTGGTTTGAAAACATAAACAGAACATCTGTTGAGCACAATACATGGAATATTAATCACCATTGTGACTTCCAACAGTTAAATGGTCATGGTGGACTGTGATTTTGAAGTCTCAAATGCTTTGCCCTTCACATGACTTTAGCACAACATGAAAATGAAAGCTGTGCTCTGTTTGTTTATTCAAATATGAAAGTGCAATACTTTAGTTCTAAAATTGAATGAAATGTTCTAATAAATAGGCTAATTATCCTCACAATGTTCATCAAAATTATCCCACTTATAATTTTGCCCATAAACATGCAGCCATAGTCAGTTGTATAGAAATATTCCAGCTACAGAAAGGTTGATGTTGACCATAAACAGGTGTTATGTCTGCAGTGTCTTGTTGCTACCACACAAGGCAACACAACTAATTTGTTTGACCATTTAAATTTGCAGCACAAAGCTCTGTATGATGAGCCCAAAGCCACAGTTCTGCAATACAAAGCAGGATTTGAGGTAACTACAGGTTTAACTCTGGGTCATCACTACAACCATGGTTGTTTCCTTCTTACTGGGTACATCTCCATGGTAACCGATGCTAATCGCCTAGCCTGCTCCAGAGCAGGTTATGTTCCAGATAAGAGATGAGCGTCGATAAGAACAGCTCCTTCTGACCAATCGGCTCTCTTGAAATGTATCATCAGCATTCCTGAAAGATATCCAGGTGCTTTTTGCACGGATAGTGAGAGAAGATAAGAGTTTTTACAGCTGCAAGTGTTTTAAGAGATATTTCATTATTCTATTAGAATTTGTAGAGCGATATAACCCTACAACAGAAACTGATTAAAACGCTCAAGCCTTATGGCCTGGTTGTTGACCAAATAAGCTTTGCAATATGACTACTTTCTCTGGGATCAGTATACTTAGTGCTTTTAATCATGTTTTTATTTTAATTCTTTACTTACCCACGAGACCACGAGCAGGGTTGCAGCTGAACCGATAAAATTGTCTTTTATCCAGAAGAATACATCCAAACAATGCATTCATTAAATAGAATATACTCTACGCTATATTTTTTTTTTACTATTATTATTATTTTCGATGCAAATGCATTCATCGACAAAACCAGCCCAACCATTCCAGAATGATTATTTTCTTTTCAAACACTTATTCAAGTCATTGGGTCAAAACTCCTGTATTTTTTTTATTGCATTATATATTTCTATATCTCACAGAAATACAAAATATTGCAGTATCAGTTCTAGTCAGCCCTAAATTGAAAGAAGCAATTTACTGCAGTCTTTAATTAATTAAGTGGTTGTAAATTTAGAGACTTACTAGATTTGAAAATGGTAGTAATTATGTTGTTAACAAAAAAAATTTTTTTTGGACGTATCTAAGTGCTGTTTTAAGGAATAGTTCAGTATTGTACATGGAACCGTTCTAGCTGGTTTCCCCTTGGCTCCAGTCTTTATTCTACACTGAGCTCGCCACGTCCTGACTCCAGCTTTATACTTAACACACAGGAAAAAGTAGAGAGGTACAGATCTTCTCATCTTATAGTCAGAGAGGAAGCAAATATATTTTTCCTCAAAATGGGATTTTAACGTTGGAGAAAGCTAATATGATTTGAGAAGAATGTGCAAAGAATTAGAATTAATGTGAAAAAACTCAGTAACTCCCTGAAAGGCACAAACCATTGGAACACTTGTAGAGTGGAGCTTAAATCATGTGGCACACTTTGGAAATTCAAATGTTTAAAAATACGTTCAGCAAATTCAGATATTAGAATTTTACTGCCAACTAGATTGCGATTTGTAAGCAGCATGAGAGTAACAAGTTGTTGCTTAAGATGTAGTTATTTGTGGACCAAAAGATATCTTAGCTTCATATCAGAAAAGGCTGCACCTGACAGTCTAGATGATTATGTAGCATCCATCCTACATCGTGTTCACGGCTTTTCTTTGCATATGTTTGACCTATTAGAACAGAGATTGTCAGAGTAGATTCCTGCAACACTCCACTCCCTCCTGATTTGCTTTCTAAGCCAGGCTCGTCTGTTCACAGGACTAAGGCGCCATGTTCTACAAAGCCCTGCATTTAAAAGACAGATGTGATCCAAGCCTTTGACAATAAATGCAGACTTCACTGATTGTTTGTCTGCACAACTTTTGCAATCTTCAGCACATGTAAAACAAAGCAACCATGTGCTCGAAGAATATACTGTATTTGCCAGCTTCTTCTTTGGTTTGACAGAAGAAATTCCCGTTTAGGAGTCACTCCTCCTCTGTTGGCAAAGGCTCTCAGGGACCAGATGGTGCTTCCGTTTTCTTTTGTCTTATCTCTACAGTTTGCTGTAATGATAGCAGCCTGCCAGCTTGCGCATAGTATTAGGATACTGTGTGTGTCTATTATGTGTAATTCAGAGAGACAGAGCAGTGTCTTTTGTGCGCTTATTTAAATGCTGATGTGTGCTGTGTCCTTGCAGGCCCCTACGTTAACCATGGAGGGTGGTAGGCTGAAGCGCTCCTTGCAGCTGGTGCCTGGTAGAGACTTTGAGACGGTGCCAGAGCCGGTGTGGCGGGCACTTTACCACTGGTACGGTGCCAACCTCAGCCTGCCACGGCCGGTGAGTGAACGGAACACATCCAGTCAACAGCTAATGAATATTACTCTGTTACAGGATGTGGGAATACTCCGGAGAGGAGATACACTGTGAAGAGCAGAGCTGTAGACTGATGTAAACAAGTTGAAAGATAGTTTTCCTTTATTAGAACTTAGGTCCTATTTTTAAAGAAAAATCGAACTGACCAACAAACACAAGCAGCTGGACGGGTTTAACACAAGCCAGCAGTTCACCAGATTATCTAAACAAATGTATTCGGAGGTAAAACTGGTAATGAGTCTACCTGAAAAAGTAAAAAGTAGCAGGTTTCCATCCAACTATGGCACAAATTTAACAATCAGCAAAATAAATGTCAGCGTGTGATTCTGTCCACAACCCTACTGCAAATGTGAGGTCTAGGTTCACTGAGATAAACATCAGGTGGAGCAAAGATCTCCTTCCAGGTGCCATTAAACCAGCGCTGATAAAGATGACATAGTGCAGCTTAAATGAAACGGCACCAACCAAACCTGAAGCTTCATGGAAGCATGATATGAGACGGGTCACTATCGCACAAATCTCATGTTTTCGTCTTGTGCTGTTTTTCCTGTTTTCAGAGGAGCAGAAGCTTCAGCGGATATTTAAGTAATTTGCTGTATTTACATAATCATTTATGCACTAAGTCTGTTTGTCACATTATGCTTTTTCCTGTTAATGTTTTGGCACCTGGTGTTGATTTAGTTTTAATTTTTTGACAGGTCTGTTAGTTTTTGCCACTTTTTCATCATTTGATTTTTTATCAGTTTCAGTCAACAAAACATATATCTACATTTGACGAATTAAAACTGTTTTTATGCACAAGTTGAAAATGGGCAATTAAGAAAATAGGTGGATGGAAACACACTTTGTCTTAATCTAACGTTGAACGGGAAAACAGGGATGAGCGTTTGCAGTGAAAAGTTCACCTTCATTTTCTCTTAATAAGTTTGACTGAACTGCAGTTTTCTTAACCATCTGAACCATTGGCAGTTTCTTCGCGTACTTTTGCTCCTGTTACATTTTTACCCACTGATGACTCATTCACAGAACACCACTATGGCGAGAAGGAGACAGAACTCGAAAATAGCTTCTGTGCAGTATGATGTTATAATTCTATCAATCATAAAACAAAGAAAAAACTAAAGTTGAACTTCTCTAATTATTTACATTACAAACGATTTTAAAACCTTGAATAAAAATGTAAAACAATTTCCAGGTGTCCACAGGTTTCACCAATACTGGAAAAAATAGTCTGTCGTCTCAAAAATAGTTGACATGTCTAGCAAATATCATTCAGATATTTCAATTATATTCAGATTTCAGATTCAGATTCGGATGATTTTCATTCATGTCATTAGATGTCGATGTATTAGTATTGAATTATTAGTATTCCCTCCACCCTTACAGGTGATCCTGGAGAGCAAGACAGGCCAAGCAGAGCTGGAGCTCTTCCCCCGCTACCTCCTCTTCCTCCGCCAGCAGCCGGCCACACGCTCGCCCCAGTCCAACATCTGGGTCAATATGGGTATGACCAGCCTGCGAATGTTCCCACCGTATTTACCCCCACCAAGAGGTAACGTAAGCGTGCAGCAAGATCAGAGCAAGCCGTCGACCAATGCTTTATTGAGCAACCCTGCATCCCCCCTCCCTTCCTAATCTTCCTTGAGTGGACTGATCCAACCCAGGCAGTGCTCTGGAGTGGGAGTGGAATGGCCCACGAAGGGGAAAGACTAATCACGCTAAAAGTGGAATAATTCAAACTTTTTTTTTTTTCGTCTTCACAGCTTGAAAACACTTGTTTTAGTGTTCTACAATGAGAGCAGAATTTAAGTATGCGTACTGAATCATAATGAGTAAATTCCATCCATTATCTATACACTGCTTAATCCTCACTAGGATTGCAGGGGGGGCTGGAGTCTATCCCAGCCGACTTAGGGCGAAGGCAGGGGACACCCTGGACAGGTCGATAATGAGTAAATTGTGTACAAAGAAGTAACATGTACACCAGTCTGGGCGTAGTACTTTCAGCAATGACTATAATAATGAAACCCTCATGCTTCTCTGTTTCTACCCTCCAAACCTCACAACCTATTTCCAAAATAACAGCACACATTTCTCATAATTTAGAAGAACTAATGGATAGTTTAGTCCAAGTTGTTTCCTCTAGTTCAACTCCAGTACCATAGGGAGAGTTGGGTTTGCTGCAAATAAAAACTTTGTGCCTGTAGGTAGACTCCACGCAGGTGAAAATGTCAGAAGCTGTTTGCATGAGCAGGAATGTCACCACAGCAGGAAGAAATGTCATCTTCACTGTGGGTAGAAGTCATAAGCAGCAGGCCCTCTGCACACCACAAGTGTGGAGCTACATCTGCTGTAAAGTATATAAAGGGACAAAGATATTTAAGCCATCACTGCTGCCACTTAAGAGAAACAAAGAAAGACTCTAACTTACTAATATTCTGAAAGCCTCGTTTTGCAGTGCATCTGTAAAATGTGTAATCTGACTTAACTAGTTTGCTCATTTAAATAGTTAGTGTGTGTCAGATTTACCAAATTATATGCCAGATTACATTGTCTAGCTCTACTTTTATTACCCACCTATGTCTATTTTGTGTTTTCTGCACATTTAGGGTCCAGTTTTATATGGTTTTTAAAAGAGTACACTGTGCTACGGTGATTGCTATTATTATACTGCTGCTCTTTCACACTGCAGCTGCTAGTTAATTGAGTGAACGTCATGCTGCTGTCAGGGGTTTGCATTGAGATCTCTTGATTTAGTTTAAACATCTTTCCCGTTGTAGCCTTTACCATCTGCCTCCCTGAAACACCGTACCGATACAGCACGGGTCAGTTGTTTCAAAATGTGGTTACTGATGGAAAGTTCTGAGTGAATCCCTCCCCTGGCTCTACAGTGACATCACCTGCTGTGCCAGTAATCATGGCCTGTGGTCTCACCAAACATGAGCTGGTATATACTTGAAATTTTGTAGGCTGATGACTGTAAGCGGTACCTAATCAAGCCACTTCCACTTCAGTCACTTCAGGTTCAATTTGCTCACAATGGAAACTCTATACATAGATCCCCTCAGCCATACAATAATTGAAGCTGAATTTCACCCCAGTGTTTCATTTTCCTGCTGCATTATGTCCAAATGGGTATCATTAACAACTATAAACAGAAAATGTCCCACTGCAAAAAGAAACAAGATGACAAAGCATCAAGTGGAGACATACAAAGCCACTCCAGCTGTAATGAGGTTGGGAATACTCAGTCCAACATCAGCACTCAGGAGTGCGAGTGCTGGCCCAAATCAAGTCAACAGATCAGGTTTCTGGCCACAGTCCCCAGTGGAGCTTTGTCTTCCATCGTGACTCATACTGTCTGAGAGCAGCTTCTCATTGTTGGGTATTAAGACACTGCATTTTGCATGTGGTTAAATATCTAATATAGATAAATTTACACTCTTATTTCTCAAAATGGTGTGAGTAGAGCACTCAAACAAGTGTTAAGGATACTTTTTCATGGTGTAATTGAATAGCAAAGCTGTGTAAATGAAAAAATTCTAAATCAATCACTTTGAAATCAATATCAGATAAATAAGTGAATAACAGGACTAATAGTGACTAGTTTTTATTTGATTTAATCCACACTGAATCTGCTAAATCCACTAAGTTGATTGACCAATCAAGTCTGTGCTGATTGACAAAAAAAGCCCTTTTCTTGCTGCTTTCTTACAACTAATCCTCGGTTAGCAAAATGCTGTTGTTTTTATCTATCATTTGTTCGCATCTGTGAGCTTGTGCAAAAGATGAAAGGTGTGCTTACTATAACAGCAAATCAAAACCTAATCAGACATAACGAGATCATTTCAGTTCAGTTTGAAAGTGTACAAAGACCTAATTAAAGTCTAATAAGAGGTCAAAAATGTAATCTGAAGTATGTGGAGATTGTGTGTTTGGGTCATAATGTGATCTCTGTCCATCAGCAGGTAGTGTGCCATCCCCCAACGCTCCTCTGAAGAGGATGCTGGCTTACACCGGCTGCTTCAGCCGCATGGCCACCATCAAAGACATCCACCTCTACCTGTCACAGAGGCTCCGCATCAAGGAGGAGGACATGAGGCTCTGGCTCTACAACAGTGAGGTGAGCTGTCACAGCAGTCCCTGTTACTTTCTCACTGGGCTTTGACACGCAGATATTTTAGTGCCATATGCTCTACCGACTTCAATCATGAATAGTCAGGTATTTAACAGCCAACATTTGATGTTGTGTTTAACAAGGATGTGAAGTACTACATCAAAGTACTACATTTAGAGGTAGAATTCTAGAACTAAGAAGTAGTACAATAGGTCATTTGTGCAAGCAGCTTGTTGTAACCCACAGTTAGAGTTCATTGTGACTGCGCCCTCTAGTGGTTGTAGTGATTATGATTTGCACAAAGGACGAAGTGAGGGGACACATTGAAGGAAAGATTTTATAATTGAGAGGAGAAACAACAGTTGCATAAGTTTCCACACACGTGTACAGCAGGATTCAATTAAGCAGCTAACATCCAATGATACTGTGGTATCTGTAAAAATCCAGAACAGGCCTAGCTAAGGCTGATTTTGTATAAAGATGGACAGGAACAATTCTTTAAAAGAGGGTTCATTGCACAGCTGGCAGGAGCTTCAGTCACAAGGACTGGATTTAGATTAATTGGACTAACGTAAAAAATTGCAGTCGACAAGGCAGATGTGATACTTGAGTGGATTTGATGGCCTTGCAGCAGTGAAATCCACAAAAGAAGAGAGGAGCAACTTTTCTTCAGGTAAATAAGAATGTAAATGGAGGATGTGATCAGCAAGAAGACAGGGAGGGATATTATAGTCGGGTGCAGTGGATAAACCCTAATTTCAAAGGTAAATGCACATAAGACAGTTCACTGGTGCAGAAATCGGAGACACTGATCTACAGAGATGTGAAAAAGCAAGAAGGTCAGATGAGTCACCCATCAACATATTCTTGACATGTGGCTGAGTTAATGTGGGACATACAGCAAGAGAACAGTACAGGCCTGAACCCTTGACGCCGAAGGGGTCTGGTGACTCTGTTGCGCTGTTGGAGGCACTGTGTAAGTCTATTTGTCTCCTTAACACACTAAGTCAGTCAGTCACAGTAGATCAACACAAAATTGTTCTAAGAGATCACCGCTATCCTGTGATGAAACATTTCTATCCTGATGGGATCCTGAGGGGTATCTCCCAAGATGACAATACCCCATCCATATTGCACAAGGGGTCACCGAATGGTTTGATGAGCCTGTAAATGGTGAAACACATATCTTATGGCGTTCGCTTTCACCAGATCTCCCACCTAGACACCAAATGAAGGAATACCTTTTAGAAGAATAGTGTTCCATCCCCTCAGTAGAGTACAGGGATTTGAGAGGCGAGGGACAAACTACCTGTGTGTCTACATGTTCAGGTTAGAGGAGTCTGATGGCCCAACATCTTAATTTAGGGCTTTCTAGCAGGTTAGCACAATAATTTCTACTGCTACCTCTAAAAACTGTTGTATAAGAAAGATCAACATAGTTATTATTCCACAATATAACTAAATCAAAACAAGAAAGAGATGAACTGCTTCCTGTTTTAGCATGCTTTATCCACTGTTTATCCTTTAGAACTACCTCACCCTCCTGGACGATGAAGATCACACACTGGAAAGTCTGAAGATCCACGACGAGCAGCAGCTTGTTATTGAGGGTATGAAAGGCCTCCCTCTACTGTTCCACTTCTGTCTAGATTTAGCCAACCTCTCTTCAGATTCAAAATAACGCTGTAGCCAACAACAGCTATTTTCACTGATGACAGGTAATTCTGAATAATGGTACATAAAAGTGGGAGCAAAATTGTTTAACCACCGAAATCTGTTTCTCTTCCTCCACAGTCAGGAACAAAGACATGAGCTGGCCCGAGGAAATGTCTTTCATTGCCAACAGTAGTAAGATGGACCGACACAAAGGTGAGCTGGGTGAGGACACACTTGGCAGGCTGTGATTAGTGGATATTAACTCTACAGACACATACTACATTTCAAGGGGAATCTTTGAATCATCCCACATTTACTCATTGTTGAAAATAGTGGGAGGCAGTGACTGTCAAAAAATAGGAGTCTCCAACAAAAATATAGTGATCTAAATGTACTCTGTGGGTGGGTAAATGCAGTGATATCTTTCGTTATTTAGGGCTTGAAGGATAGTAGGAGGAAGGTGGAGAGGCTCTTAAGCATACAGAGCTGCTTGATAAACTATCCAACCTACATTTGGTTTCACTATGCCTGTTTAAAAAAAGGTTTAACTTTTGAACATGTGCCTAAATATAATTTAGAAACGTGCAGACTTAAGGAACTTTAACAAGTTAAAAGTTAAACATTGTTCTGTAGTATCTAGACACTATTATGTGTAGTCCAAATTTTTACCTCTCATGTATCTCTTTAAGTTACAGTAAGTGCAATGCATAGGTTTTTATGAAAAAACAAGTAAATGGTCAACTTTGAAAAAGTGGCATGGTAAACAAGCTCTTCCCTTAACTTCAATGCATTTATTGGCTGCTCAATATATAATCTATATTAGGATGATAATTAAGAATAACTAAATGTTTATTTCCAGTTTATTATTGTCTCCTCATGTCAGTTTCCATTTCTTTATATTTTCAATTGTCATATCATTTTAATATCCTTTTCTGCTTCAGTCTTAAGAAGTAACATATAGATTTGGAAAATAGTCTTTTAACTGTGCAACAGATGGATTTTTTTTTTTTTTGGTCCAAATTTGTGACCTTCTGGAAATAGTTTTACAACAAAGCAAGTCATTAAACAACTTTAAAGATACCCAGACATGAGTCTTACAGAAGAAATAGGTGTTTAATTCTGTCCCCCAAACAAATGAGATATAATGTATGAAAGGCACAATACTTAAGTTTGATACTATCTTTCTCCCTCGTATGCATTGTTTATTAGTCTTTTTTAAGTCTTTTTTAAGTTCTTGTACAGAATTTCCCTCTGGGATTAATAAAGTCAGTCTAAGTCTAAAAGACATTAAGTTTGCCAAGGAACAATGTTTGTTACACACATTTACACACCTTATTTTCCAACTCAGTTCCTACAGAGAAAGGAGCCACTGGCCTCAGTAACCTTGGCAACACCTGCTTCATGAACTCCAGCATCCAGTGTGTGAGCAACACCAAGCCTTTGACAGACTACTTCATCTCAGGGAGACACCTCTACGAGCTCAACAGGTACTGTTGAAGTATATTAATCCGGTCTAAATATTGACACCATCAGTCTGAACCAGCTCATTTATACTGATCTGTTTCGGTGCATTGACAGAATCAACCCCATCGGGATGCGAGGTCACATGGCCAAGTGTTATGGTGACCTAGTGATGGAGCTGTGGAGCGGGACACAGAAGAATGTGGCTCCGCTCAAACTCAGGGTGAGCAGTTTTCCTTCAACAGTCTGTCGTCAAACAGAGAATCCGGTTCTCAGTCTCTGTTTTGTCTCTGTTGTGATGTAGCTTCACTTACTTGTTAGTAGCTTATGTTTCCAGCTTTTGGCATTTTTGATCCATACCGATTAACCTCTCTGCAAACAGAGTATTGTTGTGTTTATGTTCCGTATATAAACTTGCTAACGTGCTACAGGAGCACTTTTACAAAGCACCTTTAAAATGCTTTTAAAGGTTATGTAGAACTAAAGTTCATGATGCCATTCCTTCCTCTCTAGTGGACGATAGCGAAGTACGCCCCACGCTTCAACGGCTTCCAGCAGCAGGATTCGCAGGAGCTGTTGGCCTTCCTGCTGGACGGCCTCCATGAAGACCTAAACCGAGTCCACGAGAAGCCCTATGTGGAGCTGAAGGACAGTGATGGCCGGCCCGACTGGGAGGTGGCTTCTGAGGTCAGCATTCACACTCCTAATTGAATACTATGAAACAAAATAAACACTGTATTTCTTTTTCTGGTATGATGTTCTGGATCATAGTTTTTCAAACTTTGAGTCTCAGTGGCTCATAGCAGATCATTCTGGCGGAGATTTGACAGCCGAGTGCAGGATGGGAAATCAAAATATGTACTTCTTGTCAAACCATAACTCACTTACATCAAAAAACACAGACGTACCCAGATTTTTATGTTCACTTCCTGAAGATATCATTATCGCAGATGTCCATCTTAACTAAACATCCATGAATCTACGTAGACATAATGAAAACAACGTGCTTCTTTTAACTTCAGAACTTGTCTATTATCAGTGTTTGTCCAAATGTAATAATTGTAGTAAGTGTAATTGTACAAAACAAGTAAAATATAAACTAATAAGGCAATGTACGAGGGACATGCATGCTCATCCTCATTATGCATGCATAATGAGGATTAAGCAGTGTATAGATAATGGATGGATGGATGGATGGATGGATGGATGGACAAAGCATCATTCCCTAGTGAGGATTAAGCAGTGTATAGATAATGGATGGATGGACTGTGTTTAATACTGTAGCGACCCAAGAGGCGTTTGCTCAGACTATTGTCGGAGTCTGCTGAGGCCACGGGAATGTTGCCATTCAAATCAAAATTGTTAAATGAGTGGTTTTGGGATTGTTATTTCAGTTGTGTTGTGTTTGAATTTTGATTGTTGTGGATAGATGAGGTGATTTTCAGTGCTTGTGTGGCTGAGAGTATTGTGAAGATTTAGCGAGCAACAGGCCACCATGAGGGATACTTGTGTAGCGGTTAATGGCTTCCGGCCAGCGCCTAATTGCACCCTGACCTAGACAGAGTTCAGGCAAATAGATAGAACACTGGACGCAAGAAACATTTGGCAAACTAGGATATCTTTCTCAGGTTATTATTGTGCCAAACATTAACGAACAACTTTGGTGAAACAATTATTAGTTAGTATTTCTACCATGTGTATCCCACATTCTAGTAATAACATAACCATGTACATTGGAACCAAGGGAGCTCACACTTACGCTGTATAATAGGGGAACTTGTGATAGTTATGCAAAGTCTGCTCACACAGGGGGTTATAAAGTTGAGTCATTTGGTCCAAATTTGGTAGTTTATCTTTTTGTATCCTCAAAGACAAACTCTGCTTTTCCATTTTGTGTGTTTCTAAAATTACACTATACCTACGTACATATATCCATCCATCAATTATCTATACACTGCTTAATCCTCACTAGGGTCACAGGGGGGCTGGAGTCTATCCCAGCTGACTGAGGGTGAAGGTTCACCAGTCTATCACAGGGCTACACTTAGAGACAGACAACCAAGCACACTCACATTCACACCTACGGACAATTTAGAACTACCAGTTAACCTCAACATGTTTTTGGACCTTGTGGGAGGAAGCCGGAGAACCTGGAGAGAACCCACGCTGCACGGGGAGAACATGCAAACTCTACGCAGAAAGATCCGGGTGTCCTCACCGGGACGCGAACCGGCGACCTTCTAGCTGCGAGGCAACGATGCTAACCACTTACATATATGATATTTCAAATGTTGGCAAAATGGCGTGCAGCAGCTTTATATTCGTCCTGTTAAAAACCAAAAATAATGTGCAGATCAAAGATTTCTAAAAAAGTTCTGTGGTATTTGAGTCTTGAATACCGTGCATCAGTGTTCTGTGAATGTCATTCTAATATGGTCTCAGTTTAGGGCTCAGAATATGTTAAAATGATTTGCATCCTTTAAGCTGCACTGTGTCCAACATGGCTACCTTGTATTCTCGTACTTTTCCAGAGAGCTCCTTTCCTGGAGGGCAGTTTCAGAGTCATTTTTGTCTGACTTTGAAAAACCCTGTCTAGGATAAAACTACAGAGGAGCTCATTATTGCCGGCCAGCTTTTGCTGCTTGTATTAAAAGGGCATTAAGCTAAGAATGGCTTTCATCAGCTTTAACTCTCATCCAACTAATTGTAACTACACAGACTAGCACAGTCACTTTCATTATTTAGATGACTGTCATTTAAACACTGAAAGTTTTGTGGTATCATATTCTGTCACTGTGCAATTCAAAACAACATTACTTGGAAACTGAAACTTTGAAATTGAAGTATACATACGTAAACCAGCTTAGACAGAAAGTAATACTGGATTAATTGTTTCAGCTATATTGGCCTGAAGTGGTTGCTACATATTATATAACTGCAAAAAAATAGACTTACTGAGTATCAGTTGATGAAACCAACATTCTGTCGCCTCCTGCTCTCTGCAATCACAGCCCACATTACAGTGTAGTTTTTCACGGGTCATGAAGTCTACCTGTTCAGCAGAAAAACAATTCATTCTTTTGCTGCTGTGCTGAGATGCTGGTTAAATGACTGTTTCATGATTGCAAAGTCATCAATCAGTTCCTTATCTTGGCTGAGCAGGTGTACATCATCAGTATTTTCTAAAAGCTTTGTTTTTGCTGTCCACAATGAGCCAAACTTGTCCACACTCTATTCAAAATGCTGAATAACACTGTCTCTTCACAGCTGGGCCTCACATCCATCTATGGACCATAAATGCATTCAGGTTTTACATTTTTGTCTAAAAGAGTCTGTCTGAGGGCTGCAAGGTGGAGCGGTGGTTAGCATCGTTGCCTCGCCGCAAGAAGGTCGCCAGTTCGCGTCCCAGTGAGGACACCTGCGTGGAGTTTGCATGTTCTCCCCGTGCAGCGTGGGTTCTCTCCGGGTTCTCTTGGCTTCCTACCACACAGTCCAAAAACATGCTGAGGTTAATTGGTGATTCTAAATTGTCCGTAGGTGTGAATGTGAGTGTGCTTGGTTGTCTGTCTCTAAGTGTGGCCCTGTGATAGACTGGTGACCTGTCCAGGGTGTCCCCTGCCTTCGCCCTAAGTCGGCTGGGTTAGGCTCCAGCCCCCCATGACCCTAATGAGGATTAAGCGGTGTATAGAAAATGGATGGAAATGGATAGATAGTGGATGGATGGATGGAAAGTCTGTCTGAATAAAAGTCAGTCCAAGCTCCAGAAAACTTGGTTTCCAAATTTTTCTGTGGCATTAAATTGGCTATAATCGATATAATTCTAACAGCATTGTGAAATATTCAATAAATTCAATTTGCAAGACGGATGAGAGTAGGAAAGAGTGGGAATAAGGCAGCTGTGACTTTTATCCTCAGGCTTTATGGTATCAAATGAAACGTGAGCCCTCCCCTCCTTAGAGGGATGTTGATGTAACAGACTGTCACATCCTCTGAAGTCTGTTCTGAGAGTTGGAGGATGAGGAGCTGTATTGATGATGTGCGTTGTTTTCTGTTTGCCCTGAGGGGAGGGATTTGCAGGATTAATGATGTGTGATCTCACTGTTGTGTGTTGGTGTGTGTCTCTTCACCCTACAGGCGTGGGAGAACCACCTGCGTAGAAACCGTTCCATCGTGGTGGATCTGTTCCACGGTCAGCTCAAGTCCCAGGTGAAGTGTAAGACCTGCGGCCACATCAGCGCTCGCTTCGACCCCTTCAACTTCCTGTCTCTGCCCCTGCCCATGGACAGCTCCATGCATCTGGAGATCACTGGTGAGCAGGCTGACAGAAAGATGTTTCACTAAATTCCTTTTGTTTTTTTAACAACAACACCTGAATAACGTGTTATTTCGTGGTGTGCATGCAGTCATCAAACTGGACGGCTCCACGCCTGTGCGCTACGGCTTGAGGTTGAATATGGATGAGAAGTACACAGGGCTGAAGAAACAGCTGAGCGAACTGTGCAGCCTGAAGCCTGAGCAGATCCTCCTGGCTGAGGTCCATACTTCAAACATCAAGGTACTGCACTGGTGACACTGCACACCTCTTCGTCTCATGCGTCAAGTGTAGCCGCTAACATTGAGGACGAAGCACATCTTAATGCGACACACACAGTTAGATGTCAAATTAAATGCTCAGTTTGCTCAAATATCTAAAAATATATATTTTCATAGCCTCCAGATGAAGGGTAATTATATCATCTGCATCAAATCTACTTCCAATTACACAAAAATCTAATGTACGCTATAGAACACGAACAAAAACTCACCTTTGTTAATTAGAGCAGATAACATCCAAATAATGAATGCAAGCTGAATAATCAAGTTGTTTCATTTGAAATTAAAACAAAGGAGAAAGTATTTCCCAGATGTACAATAAGAACTAGTGACTGATTGTTTGCAACTCTGGTACATGCATTCACTGCTCATTTGTGTTCACTCACTGAACATGTTGTCTCAGACAGCCAGACTTATCTCCACAGTGCTGTGTCAGTGTTGAACAATGATCTGACTGCACATCATTATGATTCTGCTGTAGTGGGGGGAAAAAAAACACTCTGACTTGTTTGGGTTTCTTTAAACCAATCACAATCTTCTTTAGCAGCGCTAATCCCAGGATGCAACAACAGTGCATCTGCAAATAGTAACAGAGGAGTTGTTTTGGTGGAACATTAGCATGCAGAGAGGTTAGTATTGTTATTAATGTGGAACATTTACCAAAAAAATAGGCGGCGCTACCTTCTTACACGATTCGAATCTTTAGCAAAACTTTTAGTTTTCAGTTTAGTTCATTGCTTGGAGGTGGTTGTTCTTTTTTGTAGTGAAGGGCGTTTGGAAAGCGGTAACACTTTGTGGAAGGAGAAATCTTGAGAAATGGCAGGCTTATACCCAAAGTGTACTTTTAGTGAATCAGTCTTGTCTGGAGAAACAACCACAGTCAATAGGACGAGCGCACATTACCTGAGAAGTGCTGGCGAGTCTTTCAGAGGGACAGTGTCTTTGTCTACTCTCAAGGTCCTGAGTTAATTAAATAAACAACATTTAGGCCAAAATGAGTTTTGGTTGATTCATCACTGAACTATTTTGCTGTGAACCAACCAGCTCATCATTTTTATGGTCAAAAAGAGCACATGGTTGCTTTTACCAAACATGCATGTATTGTCGCCGGTGTCAGATGTGTGTGCATTTTTCTAGCTGCCTGACTGACTGGTGATTGGCTGCTTTAATTGCATGCTTTGATTTTGTTGCCTTGCTTCACTGTTGACAAGTAAAAATGCAGGTAAAAAAAAAAAAAACATAAAAATTGCAGCTGCATCAATCAAATCAAAACATTACACTTTTTTAGTTAGGGTTAGGGTTAGGGTGAAAAATAAAAACTACCAATCCAGCATAGTCCTGAAAGTGTGCTGATAGTTTAGCATGAAGCCACAATGCATCAGTGCATCACACCCAGAGTCAATCTACCAAATAAAAAGATATTTATGTCACTAATAATTCTAATAGTAGGTCTGTAAGATGGGGAGGGACAAAACTTGATCTATCAGATTCAGCTTGGTGCAAGCGGCTACATCATAGCATGTTCGTACCACTTTTTGCTCTAGTTGTGTTACAGAACATTTATATCACCGTAACCTCCAAACAGAAGTTGCTTCATGACACATGAACAGGGTGTCATGAAGTGTGTTATTAACGGACTCTCAGTGAAATGCTGCAGTCTGATATGGCACCACTTTGTGTTCAGAACTTCCCTCAGGACAACCAGAAGGTCCGTCTGTCTGTCAACGGCTTCCTGTGTGCGTTTGAGGTCCCAGTGCCAGGTTCACCAACATCACTGAGCTCACCCACCCTCACAGGTGAGTCCGTCCACTGAAGCCATGTTACTGTAGACCTGTGTGACAGTCCACAGATGCTCATTTCCTGATGGAACTTTCTCGTCTCCTTCATTAGACATCACGCCTATAGCCAATGGCTGCGCTGCTAACGGGCATCTTGCTAATACGCCCGTCCTCATCCCTAACGGTGGGCCCAGCACCATGGTGCCCTGCAGCCCAGAGACGCCTGTGGCCAACGGGGTCGCCAATGGTCACATAACACCGGTGCAGGAGAGCCCCTTCATTGGATACATCATCGCCATGCACAGGAAGATGGTGAGAACTTGCAGAGCAACAGTAGAATAAATGTTATTTCCACTGCTGCTGCGCCTTGTAGATGTTAGTTTACAGAAGATGACTAGCTCCCATTACAACATATACATATTTGTTCCATCTTTCAGATGCGTACGGAGTTGTACTTCCTATCATCTCAGAAGAACCGGCCCAGTCTGTTTGGCATGCCGCTCATTGTTCCCTGCACAGTCCACACCAGTAAGAAGGACCTGTACGATGCAGTCTGGATCCAGGTGTCCCGACTGGCCAGCCCGCTGCCCCCTCAGGAGGCCAGCAACCATGCCCAGGACTGGTAGGCTTCTCCATAAATCATAACTGTTTTGCAATCATTTATGCTTTGGATAGAGCTAGCTGTGTCTTTGACTAAACCAGACTAGATACAAACAGCTGTAGTATCTTTGTTCTGAACTTACTAAGATGTTTTATTCATGTTCTCATCTGGCTCAGAAGTATTTTTCAAAAATATCGGGGATCTTTCAGATCGTTGCTGTTGCTCTGCTCCATATAACAGTGAACAAAGAGACAGCAGATTTGTGAGGGCAAAGTCCTGTCACTTAGTGTTACATGATTAGGAACCACCTGAGCTTATGCTCACAATCAAGATCAGGGCTGATCAGTATCAGCTCGCTAAAGTCTGATCCATTTAACTTCCTTTGTTTAGTGTCACTTACTTCAGTCCCACTGACTGCCAGAACACCCACTGCAAGGAAGAAGCTGTAAATATGTTTGTAACACACAGCAGTGTTAGCAAACAAAATAAACAAGCACTTTTAAGTGATGATAGACATGAATATTGTTTTTCTGTGTGTGTTTTTAACCTGTAGTGATGACAGCATGGGTTACCAGTACCCCTTCACTTTACGGGTTGTGGGGAAGGACGGCAACTCCTGTGCCTGGTGTCCCTGGTACAGGTAAGAGTAGCTCATGTACACCTATAGATGGTGGGGTAGAGTGGTCTAAGATTAGCACATTTGAATTGTTTTGAGTATATATGTAAGTATTTATGATCAGAATATTAAATCACACATTTAATTTATTTTATACAGAAAAATACCTGTATGATTAAGAAAAAGCTAATAGAATGTAAAGAAAACTCCTCTGACCTTTGCACGAACATCAGTCAGAAAGATTAAATTAGAAGTAAAGAGACCAAAGTGTTTCTTTGCCTGAGCAAAGCTGTGTGTGTGTTTGTGTGTTTCCAGGTTCTGCAGAGGTTGTACAATAGAGTGTACAGAGGACAGAGCTTCTGTGGGGAATGCTTATATAGCTGTGGACTGGGACCCCACTGCCCTGCACCTCCGCTACCAGACCTCCCAGGAGAGGGTAAAACATGCACACACACACACACACACACACACTCTCTCTCTCTATCTCTATATCTATCTCTCTCTGCCCATCTCACCCTGGGAGCACCAGATAAAGTCACCTCAAGCAAAGTCAAAAGTAGAGCAGTAGAGGAATGTCTATGATAAATGAAATACACCATTTTGTGTGTTATGTGCCTGAAAATGTTAAAGACACACCTCTGAGATTCTAATTCTGTGTGTGGAGCTCCGTCTCCTTGATAGATTACACTCTACTGTGTGTGAAGAACAATGCAAAGGCCATCTTTCAGTCTTTAAAACAACAACATTGTAATGCAGGGCTGCACGACATCGGAAAAAAAGCTCACATTGCAATGTTTAGTTTTTCTGTGATATATCAGTATTTCTCTCCTGTTTTTCGCTCAATTGTGGTGCATATGTGGAGCCTGCAGGTCAACAAACGTCTTTTAAATGCATAAAAACTCAGTATATCCAAGAACCTTGTTAGTGAACGATGTCACATCAGACAGATTAGTCATGGAAAGTGTGAAGGGTGTTCTTTATTTTTCTTATCAAGCAGGGGGAAAAAGTTGTAGCAGGATGTCCTATGATCTCACGATGAACTAATTTGCCTTACTTCACATCACACTTCCTGTGATGTGACTACTGCTCACATTACACTGTGAAACAATACATCATTCATCCATATTGTAATTTATAATATCGTGTCAGCTACTGACCCTAGTTGCCTTTTGAAGACATGCAGTACTTGTCACCAACACACTTTAGAGTATATGCAGCTCTTGGGATATTTTTTGACCCTAAAAGGAGAGAAATCTGTCAAAATGGAAGGAGTAGGAGTGAGACTTTGACTGCAGAACGGTGGGAGTGTGACCTGATGAGTATGTTGCTGTGCCCTGCTGTTGTCCTCCTGCCCTGTGCTCTACTGACACTTTATCTGTTTTTTCCAGCACAGACTTTCATGTTTATGACTTTATCACAGTGGTTCACTTGGTCCTTGTGTTATTGTTGTATATTTGAGATAAGGGAAGAACAGAAACAGGTGTATTTCTGAATTTGGCCACACAGAGTCCCCAGAGAGCTGGTACATTTGGAATTTGTTGTAAGAGGTGCCATTAAAGTTTTAATGTTACTTCAAATGGTTTTGGATGGTGATGAAAAGTGCTGTGGTTTTACATACTAATACAAGTATTCATCTGCTTTCCTTCACCTATTCTTGTGCTCCAGCTACATTGAACAAAGACAGCTCATATGCTTTTCACACATCGTCAGATAACTAGAATCACCGACTGATTCAGAAAATTACGAGTTGTTAGGAGCCATAAAAAAAACAGTGTGAGGTGATCTCTTCTCAAAATTGCTTGGCTTTACTAAAAAGACAACAAATGGCACCTTTCCTGGCCATCTGCTGACAGGTAGGACCAAAAGCAGAATAGTGTGAACTCATCCTTTCGTTCATTTTGGCCTCGCTGCAGATTGTGGAGGAGCACTGCAGTGTGGAGCAGTCTCGTCGAGCCCAGGCCGAGCCCATCAGCCTGGACAGCTGTCTGAAGGCCTTCACCAGCGAGGAGGAGCTGGGAGAGGATGAGCTCTACTACTGCTCCAAGTGCAAGACCCACCGGCTGGCCACCAAGAAGCTGGACCTCTGGAGGCTGCCACCCATACTAGTCAGTGGCACACTTCAGCCTCTAAGGGAGACCTGAGCTCTGGCCTCTACATGTGGTTTTCAGCAAATTTAGTAAAAAATAGTTTGTTGAAGGACCGTACAGTGTATCTCATGTGTGTTCTTTTCACCAGATTGTCCACCTGAAGCGCTTCCAGTTTGTGAACGGTCGCTGGATCAAGTCCCAAAAGATCGTCAAGTTCCCGAGGGAGAATTTTGACCCCAGCGCCTTCCTGGCTCCCAGAGACCTGGAGCAGCACTGCCTCCACTCCCGCAGCGAGAGTGAGGATCTGCTGAGGGTTGGAGAAGACAACTTGTCCTCCATCTCTGCCCCTGCTGGCTTCTGTAACCTCCCCAAAGGTATCACATGTTGACCAGTGCCTTCTTTAGTCATATCTAACCCATGAGGCTTTTTACAGCGATGAGTGTATTTTGTCTATTTTTTTTCTTTCTTTTTTTACATTTGCGTAATAAAAACATGACAGTATGTTAAACAAAATGGTATAAATGAGTAGCAGAAGACTTTGTTCTGTCTTCATCATCCACCTTGTGGTTTCCCACAGCCTCCCCCGCCTCAAGCAGGAAGTCGGCACCTTCTCTCAGCCGGAATAGTAGCCCCTCCGGCAGCCCAAAGACCGGCAGTGGAGGCCGTAGACCGGGCCGGCTACGCCTGCCCCAGCTGGGCAGTAGACACCGCCTCTCTAACAGCAAGGAGAACCTGGATGGAGCTGCTAATCCTGAAGCCGAGGCGCCACAGGCAGACACAGAGGGCAGCTCGGGAGCAGGTGTGCCCGGATCAGGAGAGCCGAATGCATCAGACTCATCCCGCAGTAGCGAGGCGTCCAGCAGCCACTGTGACGTGGTGCTGGTGAACGGAGAGAGCAACGGGCTGAGCTCAGACTGCAGCACAGAGAGCAGCATGGACCCCGACAACTCTCTGCTGCAGCACAGAGACAACATGTGTCTGGACGCCATCTACAACCTCTATGCAATATCAGTAAGTAACATGCATTGGAGGCATTGTCATACAAGCAGTGATAATAGGCTCTCTGCTGTCTAACAAATCCTGAATATTATTCTGATTTATCTCCTCAGTGCCATTCAGGAATCATGGGAGGAGGCCACTATGTGACATATGCCAAAAACCCCAATGAGAAATGGTACTGTTACAATGACAGCAGCTGCAAGGTGAGACATCAGGACACTTAGTTCCTTGTTTAACAGCAGGTCCTTCATTACTCTGTTTTAGTTATTACCAGAGATACTTGGACAAACATACAGTATCACACTTGTTGACAAAGCCTATAAAAAGTATCCTACTTAGAGTTTTGCATGTTTTTTTGTTATCTTAGTAATTGTCTATTTAAAGCTTAGCCACGTCAACTAGATATGACAAAGCATTTATTGCAATGAGGTGTTGCACATACAATGAAACCGCACAACTTCATCTTTCCAATATTGCTGTTGCTTGTCTGTGTGACCAAGTATTGGTGAAAAAAATTCTATTTTAATTGACATTCGATTTATATTTATATTTATGGATCAGACACGTATACAGCTCTGCATCCATTTCCACACCCATCACTGTTTACTCACGTACCCATGAACTCAGCATTGCAGCGATCTTTGCCAAAATATGTTAAAAAAAAACACAAGAAAAACCACAACAGGGCTTTGTGATTATGCGTGTTGTGCATTTGTACATACAGAAGGAGTAACATGATGAAGACAGATCAAACTTCTGCAGCGTAATAACTTTACACATTTTTTCATTGGAGTCATAAAGTCCCCATCGTCTTGTAAGTCTTTTGCCTGATTTGCCACCTGTGCAAGTAGGTAGATAAACACTTGCATGAATAAAACAAATTTATTTCCATTTAGCACGAAGCACTTTTTTTTTCCCCCATCATGGTTCCATTATTGCCAAACTTCAGACAATCTCCCCAATAAAATTCTCACCAGTTACCTCTACTGCTAGCATTTTATGGTATGATGAATGTTAAAACATAACAACTCCATGATAGATTTTTTTTTTCTTTGATTTAAAGACCAATATAAAAATTCTGCAAGTATTATCAGACCAAATGATTAAAAACTGGGTTGCCTAGAATGTTCTGAAAAATACAACATGTATGATCTTTGATAATGACCAAGATAACACCTTAAAAAGAAAGGTAGTGTAATTAACCTAAAAATTGTTTAGTTAATGTTTTACTACTTTACGACAACTCATGCCATTACTTTTTTTTTTTTTTTCAAATTTCCAGGAAGTGCACTCTGAGGAGATCGACACCGACTCGGCCTACATCCTCTTCTACGAGCAGCAGGGAGTCGACTACTCCCAGTTCCTGCCAAAGATCGACGGCAAGAAGATGGCCGACACCAGTAGCATGGACGAAGACTTTGAGTCCGACTACAAGAAATACTGCGTCCTCCAGTGATTGCAGCTCGTCTTCCATCAACCAGCACTACACCTGCTCTCCGCTTTCAGCCTGCTGCCCTGAGCAGGAACCGCCACACGTTCAGAACCTTCTGAAGAATATCTCACAAACTGCTAAAGACTAGTCAGACTGTGCTCTCTGTCTTTAGGGATGCGCCGCAGCACTTTCTACACTTGATCGCAAACATGGATGAGCGAAAAAGGTTTGCCAAGACAACAATAAAGCCCCCCTGTGAAAGCACTAAACTGGTGCACTTTGCTGAGCCCGACGATACAACCCCCACCCTGCCCTCCCGTGAGCCTCGCCATAACATACATGTAACATATACTTGCATACTAACGCATCTCTGAATGTATGCCACATTGGCCAAGTCATGAGGTGATGTTGCTTTCTTATTGTGCATTTATCACTTGTGATGTCAGAATGAAACAAAGACATTTGCACCTGGAGGTAATATTTTTTACCTGAAGAGGGAGGATGTGTTCCAGGTGTGAATACGAGGCTGATAATTAGATATGGCTTGAGTTTTAAATGCCAACTGTACATGGGGCACAACCGTTAAAGAACTTGTGTGTTGGTGTCACATTTGGTGCCACAGGCCAACCCGATGTCGAAATTTGGTATCTAGGATATTGGATACTGTGATGAGCTTTTAAAGAATGGTTCTCCAAAGGTTTTATTAGCGATAGTGGAACTAGGGAAAACATAAGTCATACGCTACCTCATCGCTTCCCACAGTCTGCCGGCCAACTGTACCCTAAAAGTCTGTGACAGTATTAATAATAATTAAATGCTTCCTTCCGGTGTAGGAGACGTGGTACAAACATTTCAGGAACACCACTCATTTAAAACAAAAAACATAATCCACCCCCCTCAGCTATCCCTTCCAGGACGCTCACACAGGTCCTGAAAGTCACATAAAATTAGGCAATATTGCCAAGACTGTGTGTCCATCCCACAGCTGCCAAATATCCGTGGTGATTCGTGCAATGTTGACCTCCTGTGTGTAGCTACAACTCCTCTGAAAGCCCAAAACACTGAGTGTGAACCTGGGTTTGTTTAGAACAGGTGCCATGATTTCAAAATAGAAATGCATAAAGATTAATATACAGTATATGTTGAACCGTTTTTTTTTGTTTTTTTTTTCCCTGCTAATGTGTTGTTTTTTTTAAGATTTATTTTATTGTTGTGATTTTTTTTTTCTTAAGGCAGGCTTCAGGAACCTCTTCAGATCAGGAATGAATATTTAGCTGGAAGCCTCACACAGAGGGAGCAGGTCTGTCTTCACAGCGCTGGTGCAACATGCGCCTTAAATGTGCTGCAATTCTCCGCAGCTGAATCATAGTCACCTGCAAACTCCACACCTTCCCCACTAAGAGACCCCAGAGAACTGGAAGATTAGGAATGACTGTCAAAACGGATTTTACCGGTTATTTTAACATGATTTAACTAGTAACTTGAGACTCCTAACATTTTCAGATCAGCAAAGACAAAAACCAGTGCAGCACAAACCAGAGCCATTGGGGGTTTTTGGGTTGTTTTTTTAAAATAATAAATATATGTCAGGAATTCTTTTTTCCTTGTCAAAGACTGTCCAATGCTTTACCCATGATGCAGCTCAACCGCCAACAAACATGAGTGTGTGTTATGCTAATAGTGGTTGATGTGACCTGACGCAGCCGCTGAGGTTTTGTAACCTCACCTTATTCTAACACAAAACCACAAAAACATGTAATCGTGACTTTTCAAACTCAAGTCTTTAGACCCAGCTGACACCAGCTTAAAAGAGACTTCATACAGCTATACAGTAGTGCTCCCCAACAACTTCAAAGACACGTTGGCCCTTTTCAGACATGTAATATGTAACTTTGCTGCTTCATCGACGGGTCTGTGTCATTCAAACATTGGTCACTTTTACATCATTGCTCCTCACAGCTTCATGCAGACCTACCTGCCTGTCACAGCAGTGTTTTGTCATGAGCCTGAGATTGGACAGTACATCAGTGACTTAGCCTACCTGTCTGGGCTGAAGAGAAAAGACTCCCACAAACAGCTGGAAGCAACAAAGTCAACTTTAGTTCTGATAATATCATATGTTTGATCAAAACCCAGATTATATTTATTTTAGGTGAAATTTATATTTACAGAAAATTGACCAGGGTGCTCATTCAGATGCCACCAGACTTTGAATTTGATGTGTAGAAATCAGTGGAGTTCTCCTTTAACAACAAGCTGAACAGCAGCCATTCAGTGTCCTGTCTGGTTGCCTGTTTTAGTATCACTTCTGTAACCACAGGCTTCCTGCTGCACATCCAAACATCACTGCCATACACCGTATGTGAAGATGGCTGCCTCTTCCTCCGTTGGTGTTAAAGTGAAACATTAAAGAAGGTGCTGGTGATGTCGTTTGCACACCAGTGACAAGAGGAGGAGGTGTGATGTTGAGGTCCCACCTCCTGCCCGACTGTCCTCACTGTCTGGATGCTGGCTAATGATGAGTAACTGCTGGCTGTCGAGCTACATGTCAGCTGCTGTTTACCGTCACAGACTGGTTGTGGTGGTAGCTTTGCATTTAGGACCGAGCAGGAGGCGAGACCTCATTCCTGTCTTTACACACAGGCTGTGATGACCGCAGCAAGGTGGAAAGATAAACCACTGAAATTGACCATGATCACCAGATTTTCAAGGGCTGCTGAAGCAGATGTGTGGGCTGATGCACACCGTTAAACCACAACATAGTCCTACAAGGTCAGGGTCTGCGTGCAGCTCTTACATTTGTAGCTAATATTGTTGTGTGCTTTTTTTCAACCCTGCATCCAAATCTAATTAGTATTTCATTTGGTTTTAAACCTTTATGCTGCATGTTCCTTAACAGATCTGTGTTTAATTCAGTTATCATTGTTTGCTTTTCCCCCATTTTGTGCATTAATCCCACCCTGATGGGTCCCATAAACCCCATTCATATTTCAAAAAGACGTGATTTGACGCTGCAGAAAGAAATTGTGTTCAATTGGATTTAAATCATTTCAGCTAGCTGCTACCATAACGGCAGCAGACAGTCGTACATTTCAGCCTGTTTGGGGACGATGGTTTCAGATTTTTTCTGAATTAATGATAAATATTTATTTAATTTAAATTCGGGATTGTTTTAGGAAAATCTACAATTGCAGAGACCTAAATCCAACTCCGCTAACTGTCTCAGGACTTTTTCCCTGTTTCCCATGCATGAGATGTGCTTTCCAGAAAAAAAATCCACAGAAAATGTCAGTGTCATATAGCATTACCTGAACCCCGTAAGCAACTCTACTGATATCAGATGCTTTGAAATGAACCAAAGCATGTAAAAGCTGTCAGATCTGTAAAAGCATCACTGGACCCAACGTTTCTAGCTAATCCTTTGTTCTCTGTGAGCTACATCTAAATACTAAAGTTCTAAACTTTTAAATTGCGTTCCTCCTTTTATCTTAAGGTGTCGCTACTCGATGCGACTGTTGAGGTCGATTTAACAAACCCATGTTTGCGCTGCGTGAACTCCAGCAGCAGATCTCAGCCTGCGTACAGCTCCTCCAGCAGGGGCTCAGTCTAATCACTGTGAACAGACGGTCAGCAGCTCCTGATGGACGATTCCCCCAAATTGTGGATCACAGAGGAGATGAGTCTCTGTGTTTGTTCCCCCTTTTTTTTTAGCTGCTGTGTTTGTGTGGAGAAGGCATCGTTATGGATGTATTTGGAGAGATATCTGTCACTGAATGAAACTTTATTTTCCTTTGGAAAAAGTACGTTTGTTGAACAAATGGAAATGTACAGATGAGTGCTATTTATGTTTGCTTGCTCAGCTCTTATTTTCTCCTCCACCCTCCTGCCTTTGCACCGAGTTGTAGACGATGTCCAGTTTGTGTCTGTGTTTGAAACGTCATCACATGGCTCAAAGGGAAAATTGTACTAAGGATTTGTCTCTTGAGAACCCAGTTTGTAATGTTTGCTTCATTTAAAGGTGCAATAGATGTTGACTTTTTTGGGGGGCTGTGAATGTGTCCTCAGACGACCTGTAGCTTCAACTGTATTAACAAGAATGCAAAATTTTAGGTTGGGGTTAATTTTAGCACAATTTCCGTGATCCAGGAACAAAGATTTTCTGCCCAACAGAACTGAGGTGTGATGCTGAAATTGGGCAAACGCTGATCCTGTAAAACGCAGGGCTAATATCGGAAACCCCGCCCCTCCCACAAAGCCCCGCCCATGACCCCGCCCCCCCAGAAGATTAGTTTGGAGTGTTGGCAGGCAGTGCAATCTACTACTGAGCTGTCTGTCAGTGTCTGTAGCCTCTTTTTATTTAAGTTCATTTCTCTCAGATCTGAACCAGACGTGTTAATTTAAAGAACTTTTTGTAAGGTGTTTGTTGAAAGAAAGTGACATTGCACTGACATGAAAACATGTACATAAAAAAAATGTGTTTTGTAAATAAGCCAATGAAAACTATGTATTTGAATATGAACTGTACAAAATACTGTACTTGTAGTTGTATATGGAGTGATACTGTTGATCTGTAACAAAATACCCAAGCAACAAATTAAATTCTGCAGAGGAAATGATGACACCAGACTGAAATTAGTTTTTATTTGGACCTTGCGGTGCAGCTTTGGTCTGTGCTTTAACAACTTCTGGCCAGATTGCCGTAGCGGTTTTTGCAGATATTCATGAACTGTGAAAGCCTTAGTGATCCCCTGACTTGTCACCTCAGTCTCTAGTGTGAACTACATGTTGATGATGTTAGAGAGGAGAAAACCACTCAACAAGGACATCGAGAGGGCAGAAAAACGGTGCTTCTTTAACCAGTCACGCTCGTCTTATGTGAGCTTAACTAATCAGCGGCACTCAGGAGTGGAGTGGGCCTTGAAATAGCTTCTACATGGGACATAATACTGTAATAATAGGCAGGTTGGTGTGTGTTGGAGTCATTTGTTTTATTGAATTGCTTCCATTTGTCCTGTGCTTTGAGTAATAAACACACACAGTCAATCATAGCGGTACTGTAAAGCTGCAGCTAAGAACTCATTTTGTTATCAATATACCTGACAGTTCAATTTATATTTTCATGTATAAATGGTTTGCCCTAAGTCGGCTGGGATAGGCTCCAGCCCCCCCGCGACCCTCGTGAGGATTAAGCGGTGTACAGATAATAGATGGATGTATAAATGGTTAAAAAGTCCATTTTTGTTCCCTGAATCTTACTTTATTTGTCATCTGACCAATCGTCAGAAAGAGACACAAATTTTGAGCTTTGTGTCACAAAACTAGGAAACAAATTTAGTGATTTTTGCTTTGAAAATAAATGAAGAACCATCATGAACATTGGTGCCAGTTAATTTTTTTGTCAGCTTTTTTGTCAGCTGTACTGGTCTCTAAGTGCCTGGGGACATTTTGAATCCTACCTGTAAAGTTGAGATCAATGGAAACCAACAACCGCTTTTTGCCAAGGGTTTTTTTTTTTTGAGGTTATTCCAACCATTATTATTCCTCCTTAGTATTCAACACACAAAGCCTGGCATATATCACTCCATCCATTATTTATGCACCGCTCTATCCTCTGTAGGGTTGCGGGGGAGCTGGAGCACGGGACATCCTGGACACGTCACCAGTCTGTCACAGGGTCATACAGAGAGACAACCAAGCACACTCACATTCACACCTACGGATTAGTTAGAATCACCAGTTAACCTCAGCATATCTTTGGACAGTGGGAGGAAGCCGGAGAACCTGGTTTGAACCCACCCTGCACAGGAAGAACATGCAAACTCCACACAGACATGAACAGAGGGACCTTCCAGCTGTGAGGCGACGCTGCTAACCATCGTATATGTGGAGCTGAAAGAGCATGAACATGTCAGATGATCAGACTAATGAATTAGTCTGCTAATTGAAGATCAGCAGACTAACACTGGAATTGTTCCATGAACGTCATCGGCCTTAACATGTCTCAGACTGAATCTGCTTCAGGAACAAATAACTGAAAAACTAACAACAATCCCATCAGCCTCAGCTCGACTTAACATTTAGTGCAAATTGTTAGCATCTTAGCATGCAAAGCTAACATATTGAACATGGTAACTGTAGAGCATGTGATCACTGAGCTCGATGTCACGCTGACATTCAGATCAAAGAGCTGCTGTGCTGCAGAGCGGCTGACATGTCTGCAGACCTTTGTTCAAAACAGTTGCGCTGGTCTTTGTCCTTCCTCACTGTCGCTGCACTAAGTCTGCATACAGATGAGAGAGGAAACCACACACAGGGTCTCTGCAGCATTTTCCCCGAAATAAACTGTGCAACTGAAACATGTTTCTGCCCTACACACCACATGAAGGGGCCTTTCCTGTCCGCCTCTCACCTAATCCTGACTGACATTTGAAGTCATTTTAAACAACAACTGTCAGGCAACAGAAACCTATTGTGCGGTTTACTAGTCACACTGGTTTGTAGTTAATCAAAAGGGAGCCTAAAAGAGTTGTTTCGCACTAAATATACTTTGTGTAGCTGGTAAATGTGTTTTCACTTTGTTACACTGACAATCCATTGTGGTGTCATTCTGCAGTGTTTGGCGATCAGCAGCACTGATGGACTCAAGGCCCTCGTCTGTCAGAACTGTCAGTGAGCAAGTTTTCATTTTATGATCTATGATAGAATAGAATAGAATAGAATAGAATAGAATAGAATAGAATAGAATAGAATTAAAATAATTTATTGATTCCCAAGGGATTTACAAGATTCTGCAAATCTACAGATTTACGTCGATTTGTCTGTCGTTAGCAGACGTAGATATCAAAACATAGCTACCAGGATATTTTTAAGACGGTACACTGAACTCCCCAACAGCATATAAAGAGTTTACATTAAGCTCCACCTCAACCACCTACAATGTAAAAATGCTGCTGACATGTTCATGCATTCACAGGAACAATCAAGTTAAAATGTAATCATGTAACTCTGACAGAAGCCACTCTGCATTATGAATACTTCTACCTTTGATGCTCCTCCTATGATCGGTCCCTTAGGTTTGTCGCATATGAAACCCCTGAAGCCTGAAATTGTCTGTTGACCAACTACCATCAGTACATTGCAGTTTAAAGATGGAAATACTCAGCCGTGATGTTTGCTTATGATCTGTCTTCTATCATAGAAAAACAGCAGATGGACAAAGTGTTAGGATTAATATATGTTTTAATTTACTTTAACAGAATGGGCCTTTATGTGTATTTGGAAGACAGTGCTTTTGTACCGTTACCCAATGCTGGACTTTTACTTGTAATTATGCAGTTCTTACATTGTCATATTGATATTTTTTTACAAAAGTAAATGATGTGAGTATCTCCTTTTATGGCCCTATGCCATTGTACTCCTCTAACCCTGTTAGTGTGATTAACCTTGTCCTGGTTCCTTTAACAAGCATGTGCAGGCCACTGTTCTGGATTAGTGCCTGCTCTTGGACCTCGCTCAGCCTTTCACTTTGACTGCTGCTCCTCCTGCGCTGACCGACTGGACCGGTGCTCCAGCTCTGCACTACAGTCAAGCTGCACCTGTTTAAAAGCTGCTGCCGCTCTGTATAGCGGTCGTTTGTTGTAAGCAGCTCACGTCTTTGTCTGGCGTTTCTACACCCAGGCAGCCTGAGATTGTGCCAACAAATGTTGTTCACGGCCAACCTGAGAATTCCTTCTTTTTTTAATCTCAGAATTGTTTATCACTGGAGGGTTGGTCAGTTTCAGGGTTTAGTTTGAAGCCCATCTCTCCAATTTTCAGTGCAAGTAGATGTTTAGACACCAAGTCTAAAGGTGCTGCTCCCATCTGTAACTATTGTTTGGTTAGTAGGTGCAAGTAAGGCAGCACAGGCTTTAATTTTAAGCTTAATATAAATTGTGTGTAAAGTGTGTTTAAAATTCTTACTCAGAAACCCTCTTTTCTGACTTTTAATTTATTTTATTTGTGCAGCATTCACCCCCTTTTGGTTCTACTTTAGTGACCTGTACTGATTTATGTTGTTATCCCCAAAAGGTAGAACTCATTCAAATAACAATCGATCAACTTTGGTATAAACTTTAGTATTTATTTTTTCCCCTTGCAAGCTCGTCATATCACCTCCACTGTGTCCAGGGCAGTGAGATGATCTCATCAGTAATGTGGGGAATCAAAAACTTTATTTCTTGACATTTTTTGCATTAGATTAAACACATTCAACATATTATGGAACTTACTTCAAATCCTTTAATAATAATAATATAATGTGCATCCCACTAAGTGCCTGTGTTTAATACATGAACTTTAACGGCAGGTAGAGATGATGTGACCATAGTTCTGCCTGCAGTGGACTGACTCTAATGCTGAACAGAGTATGATGCAATGTTGTGCATCAAACCACCTGCTGCTTCTGTTCATTTCCTCTGCTTGCATTGTGGTTGACGTGCGATGAGAGTGCTGGTGACAATACGGGCAGGTCAGTGGGGTAACAGCAGACGGTCTTGAAGGGATCTATCTGTACTTTTAGCTTCTCCAAACAGAATAAACACAGCGGACTTCCAGCTGCTTTCCGATCAGCATCCCAGCCTGTGAACGATGGACTTTATTAAAGCGGTACTCAGCAGAGCACACAGGTACGTCTGTTTCATATTGTAACAGAGTGCTGGATGCGTCTCTTCCTGTCTGGTCTTATTGTTCGGGGCTTCAGTTTAAACGGTGAAGCAGCCATAGTCTGTTTGTTCTCAACAGTCATCCTGCTCATTCTTCCTTTCTTTAAAAGCATCGCTGTCACTCCTTCAGACTGAGGTGATGCTCTTTTACCTGCTGATGCAAGAGACCGTGGTGTCCTCAGTGAGCAGAAAACTTCCTAATCCCCCACAGTGGAAATATGGATGCAGGTGAGCTCTGATGCTTCACATCCAGTTGGGTTCACTTACACATTGTTAGACCTTGTATTGATTATGTTTATTTGTGTCCTTTCAGATCCGAAACTTATCTACATCCTCATCGGGGTCCTCGCCTTCATCACCCTGGTGTTCACGGTGCTGGGGCTCATGTGTCTCAGAAAGTAAGAGCAGCCGAAGTGATTTAACGAGGAACATATTGATCTAACATCAGTGTTAGTGGATTTGTCCAAGGCAAAGATTATTACACAACATGCCAAAAACATAATCAATGCATCAATTTTCACAGTAAAAATCCTTTTTTCAGAGCTAACTAATTGTGCTGTAGCAGCTGAAGCGCTCAACACTAGTTGTGTGTGCCACAGTAAACCATGACCATTGTTACTGCATGTCAACATGTCAACAGGTCAAAATGGCTCACTCAAATTACAGCAGAAATTCCCCACAGGTCATCATTTTGTTGTGTTTTTGGCTACAGACGAAACAGATCTCAGAGTTACCTTTCCATTCACTGACCCCAATAGGCAATAGGCGTACAGTGTACGTGATTTTCTTCTCTGCGGGTCCTTGTTGTTGTGAAATATAGCTTTAGGTGGGAAGTAGTGCTTTATTCTGTCCTGCTCTATTCATTGTAGCAAGACTATCGCCTTTTTGAGTTGACTGAAGCAAATCTTCCTGGTTGAACTCACATGGTCCACATTTTGGACGAAACAATTCATTTTCATGTCAAATTTGCATGAATTTTTCTTGCAATCAGCCTCAGTTTTGATCCAACCTACTTTTTTTTTTAAGCTACACTAGCAGTGGGACTCTAGAGATGCTAATGTTGGGCTGATCTACTGAAAACATCTGAAAATGATGCCCCCCTGGAGATGAACTGTAACTGTAGTGATCCCTGATTGTTCATTGTGTGCCTTTATCAGATCAAAACGTACGATCCGTGCTTTGGTTTATCACCCAATATGTGTTAAATGCTAATTGGCAAATTTTAGCATGCAAAAGTTTTTCGGTAAACAAACTATAATTTACTTAAAAGCCACATGTTAGCATTGCATGAAGACATATATTCTATAATGAGCTTTTATTTTTACCTAACCTGGCTTTTGTTTTTTTTGTTTTTTTTTTTAGAAATTTACAATATGTTACATGTGAACAATATGTTTTTTAACTGTCTTTTTTAGCAAACAACAACCAAGCCTTGTGGCTGTTTTGAGCTTATCTATGCTAAAATCCATACGCAGTGTATCTGTGCCTTAATTCATCCATTTCTGTCCTTGTTTCTTGCATTTCAAAAAAACAAATAATTTGGTTTCCAATTCCAACATGTCAGTAACTAAGTGTATATAAATCATCAATAATGCAGCGGTTAAATCTGGTATTTAAAGGAAGAAAAAATAAAAACACCAGCTACATTAACACTTTAAAAACCAACCAGCCTAGCTTAGCAAAGTAACTGCTGCAGTATCTGTGCAAAAGTTGTTTGATTTTACTTGATTAAACTTTCTTTAAATCCTAATTTTTTTTCGATGTTTTCAAGTATTGATGCATTTAATAATCTTCAGCTCATTAGTTCAAATGAATAAGAAAACTGCTTGAAGAACATATCTTGTGTGGAGATTCATTATTTTGTAGATTTACCACCTCATGTTAATATAACTAGTTAATATATTAAACTAGTTCCCTACATTTAAATCTTGTGATGGACACACTGGTATGTCTTTAATTGTAAACATTATTTTACAGAGTGCGCTTCTTGAACCAGACCATTCGACAGCTGCAGGGGAACATGTTCACTCCTGCCATTCTGCCTCTGAGGCCAGTCCCAGTAGTGCAGGAGGAGGAGGAGGTGGTGGAGCCTCCTTTCCAGCCCTCCCTGCAGCCCAGCGGCATCGAGAAACGCTCCAAGAGGCTGTGGAAAGGCCTGCAGCAGGTACCGCTGATACCGACATCCTCATGCTGTCACATGATGAGCGTATTTGACCTCTTTTTGAAACGGGGGGATTTCGTTCACCAGTGAGCTGAAGACACAGCAGAGGAAACCTCAGATGCAAGATCGAAATGAAATGAATATAAACGTGACACATGTTCTTTCTCCGTCATCTTACCAGTGTGGATATATAGTGTTAATGCTCCTCACGTTGTTTTTATCATTGCTATACCTGAGGAGACAGCCAAGTTTGAACAGCTGTGGTTCCATCCGCTGCTGTTCTGCTCTACTTTAATCTTCTCTTGAATATTTCAATCCAAGGATCCTCATTTCACCAAGTCAGACCTGAGCCTGCTGCAGCTAATCAAAGCAGGGAAGGAAGGTGTCTTCTACCAGGCCAGGATGACCCGAGGGACGTGTAAAGGCCACAGCATGTTCACCTGCAAGATCAGCAAGGAAGGTACATGCACCTCTGGGGGTTTTGGTCTACAAGCATTGTTTTGTTGGTTCTTCTTAGTTCCCTCTCAGTCAATTGTTGAGGTAATAACGCTCAGTGAACTGAAGCATAAGTAAATGGTAGGAGGGTTGTAAACAAACAGCTCTTTGACAAGCATAGAATGAAACTACTACACTGGATTGGTTCAGTTGTTCCCCAAATTCCATATCATCAACCATCATAAACCATTGTATCCTGGATTAAAAATAAAAAAATGTACTAATTTGTACTAGTCTGGTTGATTAGATAAACCTGAAAAACTTCATTCAAAACACGTTTGACATCCATCCATCATCTATACACCGCTTAGTCCTCACTCGGGTCATGGGAGGCTGGAGTCTATCCCAGCTGACTTAGGGTGAAGGCAGGTTCACCTGGACAGGTCACCAGTCTATCACAGGGCTACACTTAGAGACAGACAACCAAGCACACTCACATTCACACCTACAGACAATTTAGAATCACCAATTAACCTCAACATGTTTTTTGGACTGTGTGGGAGGAAGCCGGAGAACCCGGAGAGAACCCACGCTGCACGGGGAGAACATGGAGACTCCATGCAGAAAGATCCCGGTGTCCTCCAATCCATTGTACTACAAAAATGTTAAACTGAAAGAAATAGGAAAAGTGCTTTAACTATTAAAATTTTCATAAATCCGGATTAAAAGTTTTGAGTTCAGTTGCAGAGCTTCTGTTTGACTTTTGTGTCTTTTCTCCTCGAGGCGTTCGTCTCAAACATGTGGACATGGAGGTTTCCATCATGAAGAAGCTGGTGCACCACAAGAACATCCTCCAGATATTGGACTGGAACACTACTGCGGGTGAGAGACGTTCATACGCACTGCTGTTCGTCTGCAAGAATAAAATGGTTTCCATTAGCTATTAGGAAGAGGGGTGGTAGTAACTCATGAACCCTGCTGCTTTCTGTGGCGCTCCTGGTGGAAAGATAAAACATGAATGTAGATGAAACATAAATATTTGGCACCCAGTATGTCTGACTGAGCTCCTCTGTGCAGAGCCTTACATTCTGATCATGGAGTATGTGAGCTACGGGACTCTGAGGACCTTCCTGCAGACCAACAGAAACCACCTGAGTGTGGACCCTGAGCTGCAGAGCCTCTTCACCATCGCCTCCTACCACATCGCTCTGGCCATGCAACACCTGCGCTCCAAAATGGTAACAATACGGAAAGCTGTCAGGAAATAATTAGATCACATTCTGTATAATTTTGGACACACTTAATATAATTCAAGACCCATTTTTATACTAGTTTTTGACCAATTTTGTTCCATTTTTGACACAACTTGTACACTTTGAGTATATTTTGTGCCGCTGAAGTCATATTTTTAACTTTTTGGTCATATCTTGTGAAATATTTGTCATGTGTTGTGTAAGTTGGTGCATGTTAAACTCTCTGTGTGCCATTTTGGATACATTTTGTACCAGTTTAGACACATTTTGTTTCATTTTTAATGCAATTTATAACAATTTGAACACATATTGAGATATTATTTTGATTTATTTTGTGCCATTTTAGCCACATGTGCCATTTTTTTACACATTTTGTACCAGTTTTAAATACATTTGTTACTGTTTGGATGCATTCTGTACAGTTTAGAGAACCCTTTGTACCATTTTAGCCACACCAAGTATAATTTTGAATACAATTGGTGCAGTTTTTAACACATTTTGTGCAATATTTAACTGCATTATGATGAATAATATTTAATGTCATACGCAGACTGATCGCATGCTCGCTCATACTAATCAGTGCTGTCGTGTTCTCCTGTGCAGATCATGCACTGTGACTTGGCACTGAGGAATATCATGGTCAATAAGTTCCCCTGGGAGGTGAAAGTGGCAGAGTTCGGCCTGGCCAGAGACTTAACACGCATGACGAGCCGCCGCAGCAGCCGCTGGAGAAACCCGAGGGTAACTTTATACTCACACACAATCACAGAGTCAGGGCTGCTTTTTATTACTGGTGTTGTTACCACTGAGATTTCAGTTTTACTAAAGGTTGTCATGTCCTATAACCATAATAACGATGGCAGTTCCAAATCAGTTCAAGTGTCCAAATCAATCAGTCCAATCTTTATTGCTCAGATATATGTCATTATTATCTCAGATTGAAGTCATAATTTTTCAGTGAAGCACTTGGGTTAACCTGTCAATCTGGTTGGTTTTGTTTTTTGTTTTATGTAACCTGGAGATGAACTTTAGACACTTTAGATCACATTTTGTCTCACCTTTGGTCAAACTTCTGGAGTCATTGTGTGCCACGTTCGGTCAAATTTTTTCTCTTGTGACACAGTTCATTTTCTGCCAAAGTCATTCCACTATGAAGACGTAACACATGCCTAACATCGGGTTTAAAATGTCATTTGTGAGCTCGTGACACTCAGGATGTGTTTTGTCTCACCACTGCCAGTGTGATGAACTTTACATTTGGCAGCCTGTATGCTGCAGACAGGGATTGGAAGTCTGTGGGCAGTTGATCAAAGATATCTCTAAGTAGCATGTCACTTTCCACACTGACCACAGACTGTCACTCTGTGAACATAGTTTGAAATGGAAAATGCATCTTTTTCTCTGTGTATGTGTGTGTGTGTGTGTGTGTGTGTGTGTGTGTGTGTTAGAGAGAGAGAGATGGGGGATTTAGCAACATCCTTTTCAACTACAAACATCCTTGAATCACCCTTTTAAAATCAAACCACATTTTCCATTGTGTGTCCCTTTTACAGCAGCGTGTGCCGCTGCGCTGGTACCCCCCTGAGTACTTCAAGAACAACTATTACAGCTTCAAGGGAGACGTATGGGCGTTTGGCATCGTGCTGTGGGAGATGCAGACGTTCGGTGAGTTGGTGGCTCAGGTGTTAAACATGTGACACAAAATGCTTGGTTGGCAGTCTGAGGTTAGACTCTGGCACGACGCATACATTGGTTAGAAATCAAATACTTGGCTAATCTGCTGCTGTGTCAGAGTTTCCTCTCTGACCCCTGAAAAGGCTGCAGTGAGATTTTCTTTCCCCCTTTAATGGCTCAGTAATATTTTCCAAATACACTCTTCATGTAATGGCAGCATCATAGAGGATCCCTGACAGTTCACCATAATGTCACTTGTGTCTCTAGTGGAAAGTCCGAGTGGTGGGCTGCTGTTCCAGCTGCTGCATTAACGAGAAGTGGAGCAGCAACACTTTCACTGAAACCAAATAAACAAAAAAAAAAGATTTCTTCCTCTTCCTTGACACAGTTGAGGTGATTTGGAATTGTTAGTTTGTGGCATTCACAAAACTGAAAACTACATTTAAAGTCCAACATACATGACATTAATTTCAGTGAGTCAGCCCTTTAATTAAACTGTGTCCTCTTTAGAACACCAACCAAAAAATATCTGGATTTCTAGATTTCATTAGAAGCATGAAATATGTTTTCCTAATTTTCCATCTAACTGATAATAGAGTAACGGACCCTTAAATATGGAGAATAGTTCTGTGAACCTTGGTGGAACTCTGGTATATTCTTATCTGTATTAACAAATAAATGCAGTTAAATTAAAACCTTACAAAGATTTTACAAAGCGATTTTACTCGTGTAAATATGACTTTTTCAGGTACCTTACCGTATCCAAACCTGGAGACATCAGAGGACGTGATCTACCACATCTGTTTGGGTCATAAGAACACAAACCCCGACGGCTGCAGACCAGAGCTGTGAGTGAAAACTTACAATAAATGAGAATTTAATTATAATAACTAATACAATTGTTTGATTTTCAAAAAGCTGAATTTGCTCTAAGTCCCGTCTGGCCAGGGGCTCCAGCAATGTTTACTGTGTATCATTTAAGTCTGAGAGATAGAAAGTTAGGTTGATCACCGATACTGAATTTACTGAATATAGAACGGGAAACTCCAGTTGTCAAAAGTCCTGTCAGAACAAGACTGACTGGTGTCTCAGAGGACGGGAAACAACATCAAACACATTTGGTGGGCTAAGACACATAAAAACATCATACTGGTTGATGGCAAAAGGTCCTATTTACTGTTATATTTCAGTTCGAGATGAAATAAAAGACAGAAAGAATGGGGAAAGGAATTATGGCCCCATGACACTGTCAGACCATGCTGGGATAACATGGCTCATTAGGTTTGAACAAAGTGGTGGAGTCCAAGCAGCTCGAGCTGCTGCTGTCATTAAAGCAAAAAAGAATGAAATATTCTGGCATTTTTCAGAGGTTCAACTTTTCTGTTAACTCTGTTAAGCTGATGTTGTCATTTTGAATAAAACATGTCAGATTTAATTTGAAATGGCAAAATGGAAGCATCTTCACTGGTGGTGTCAGACTTTTGGTCCCACTTTGTAGTTAATACATTTTTAGGGTCCGAGGAATCCTGCTTGTTCCTGCTCCGTTTCTTTCTTTCTTTCTTATTATTATTTGCCTGACCAACACAACACCCTTAATTTGACCCCCTAAACACGCTCAAAAACTCACCAAAATTGGCATGCACCTCCGAATCGGCGAAAAATTTGATAAAATGAAAAAACAAAACAAGAAAAGCTCTCTAGCGCCACCTAGTTACAGAAAAACACACTAAAACGGCCCTAGCGGCCAGTAGGAATGTCGTACAGAGATCAAACCAACACCAAAACATTTGTCTCAATGAGAGCCACAAATCTCGCACTGACACCCCTGATCTATCTCAAACAGGAAGTCCACAATTTGCCTTTCAAAGTAAGAAAATGAGCGAAAACATCTTTTGGGAAAAAATTATCTTGTTTATTTTAATTTTTGCTTCAAAAAGACAGTTGCTGATTGATATTTTCTAAATTAATCAACTAATTATTTCAGCTCTAGAGTACTGCTTGCTTTTTTTGAGTAGATGGGTTGGTGAAAACAACTGGAATCCCAGAACTAATGAATGCCCAGAGGCTCCTCACAATGTTAATCCTGTCATGTCTGCAGTCAGGTTCAAGTGAGCAGGTTTTTGGATTTTATGCCCGTATTATTTTTTGAGCTAGTATTCTTTATTTTATAGATTCCCATTAGCTCCCACATAGTGGTTGCTAGTTGTCCTGGGCTGCCAGGGTAAAAATTTAAATGACATTAAAAGTACATAATAACGAGCAAACATTTCATTTATAATGCAGCCCAGTACAAAGCAGTAAATGGATAGCAGTAAATGCAAGTTGACACAACACTGTAAATATAACACCAATGCAGAGGAAGAATACTCACGTATTCTGTACCAGTTGTCCCTTTACTTTCCTCTTAACAGAGCCTGTATTTTTAGTGTCTCTGATCTGTGAAGAAAGTGAATTCCATTCTTTTGCTCCTCTGTAAACAATAGTTGTTTTCATGAAGTTGGTTTTAGACCCGGGGATGATCAAAGTACTTGAGGTCACTAGTCGAGTCACATAATTGTGACAAAACCCACTGAATAAGAGTTGTTCAGTTAAAAATCTGGACTCTCTCTTTGCCAAAACTTCATGCATGAACATCAGAAGACTAGCTTGTAATTTAGCCTCTACTGTTAACCAGGACGGTTTCTTGTGCATCTCATGCACATACATGACATTATATTTAGAGCTATAATGTGATCTTCCCTAAATGAATGCTGTAATTTGACTGTGTCTCCACTGCTCTAATTGATCTCATTCTATCTGGTGCAGCTGCTGCTTTTCTCAGCTTCTGTAGCTCATGTTGAAGGTTGATCTCCTCACTGATCAATGTCAGGAACTGTATTGATCAAACTCTGAAAACTGATTCTTTTGATCTCTGTCCCTGGTTTTATTATCACATCACCTGTACAGTTTAGCCACTCGTCTGTTTCTAATAACAACCATTTGAAATATAAAGTATGATAGTTGTGTCCCAGTAGTTCATAACCCGATGAATCCCGTTCATGTCTCCAGACTTCACATCATGCGAGACTGCTGGCAGGAGCCGTACACGCTGAGACCCTCCTTCAATGACATCGTCTACATGCTGGAGAACGTCATGGAAAACGATGCAGTAAGCACCTTCATTCTTTACATTATTCATTATAGATGATATTTATATACATGTTTAATGTTAAGTCACTGATGCTTCAGCTTTTTTTGTTCTTCTACTTTCTAACTAAATGAACACAGATTGTGTGACTTTAAATATTCTCATTAAAGGTTCTGTGTCTTGAATCTAACACGTAAACCCACATGACTTCATATGCTCGGCAAAAGTCATTATTTTGTTGCTTATTATTTTCAGCGCTTTATAATTTAGCGCAGTTTCCTAAAACGTAAATCATGTACACACTGGTTTTAGGGGACACCTGTTCATCCTAAATGCTTGTCACTGTCATGTGTCCATTGAAATGGCTTTAATAAAACAGTGTAGATAAAGTTTATGTTGGCTGAAAGTCTTCCTTATTTCGCTGGTAAAATGTGTCTCCACACACTTACCACTTACTGCATTTTTTTCTCGGACCGTCTCAGCAGATCATGTGCAACAGAAAATATGAATCGATTTATGAGCTGCTTTTGTGTGACATCCCAGTTTGGTGCTGCAGATGGACGGTCAGTGGACTGTGCATTTCACTGTGATTAAATGATTTCTTTGTCTTCCTCTTTGCAGGATTACGTGGATGTGGAGAGTCCTCAGAGTTTGGTCAAAGAGGACGCTGATTATCATGAAGCCAAATGTCTACGAACAGCAAGTGTCACCTTGGATGATAAAAGCGCTGTTTAATATATGTAACGGCAGTTTGCCCAATGTCCTGTGATTGCCGTTACTGCACAGGAGGAGCAGAGTGAACCGACGCAGATCAACAAACAGAATTTCTGGTCCTTGTACTTGCCGTTAGTGGATGTTTATTTGACGATGTGCATGCAGTGAAAGTACAGCGGTGTCTGTGTGAATATGGTGTCTTTGCTGGTTTGATGCTGGTCTGCTGCTGCTCTGGTGAGAACTGTTTGCTCTCTCCACCTGTGCCCTCCTCCTTCCTGTTACCTGTGCCCTCTGCATATACACCCTGTGTCCAATTACCGCCACCATGTGTCCAAACAATAATTATAATAATCCACATCAAATTACTTGCCAACTAGCATAAATGGCTCCTACAATATATATTTATAGATGCTGTATTCTATATAGTTTAGTCAGCACACATTGCTATTTAGCCCTTTGAGCCTTATTGTTATTTTTAGCCTAAATGAACTACCTTTACTATCTTGATGATTTTAGGGACTATCATACATGCTGTATCTTGTTTTGTTTTTCCAGAACAGTCTTGGCGCCTAATATCTTTATAATTTAATATAATAATACTGGCAGATTTTTTTATGTCTCACCACAGAATGCTGGCAGTAGAGATGTCGTTCCCTCGCTGTGTTGAGGAGACTGACAATATCAGAACCACGATGGTGAGATACTGTAGAACTTTGAAATTAACTTAGTGCCTTATGGAAATAACTGTCACTGTTGTATTTACTGGGCTGCAAGGTGGCGCAGTTGGTAGCACTGTTGCCTCGCAGCAAGAAGGTCGCTGGTTCGCGTCCCGGTGGGGGCACCGGAATCTTTCTGCGTGGAGTTTGCATGTTCTTCCCGTGCAGCGTGGGTTCTCTCCGGGTTCTCCGGCTTCCACCCACACAGTCCAAAAACATGTTGAGGTTAATTGATGATTCTAAATTGTCCGTAGGTGTGAATGTGAGAGTGCTTGGTTGTCTGTCTCTAAGTGAGTCCCTGTGATAGACTGGTGACCTGTCCAGGGTGTCCCCTGCCTTCACCCTGCTGGGATAGGCTCCAGCCCCCCCGCGACCCTCGTGAGTATTAAGCGGTGTATAGATGATGGATGGATGGTGTATTTACTAAAGTGTTAAAACACAGCAGACAACTTGTAGAGGTGGCAAATGTTAATGTTAATAGATCACATAGATGTTAACATATCAATGATGAGTTCACGAGTTATTCAAACCAGAGTAATCAGAATCCTAATGGATGTAGAGATGAACACAGAGCTCCATCTCTCTAAAGCTATATGCAGGATGTAACTAAATTTGATGTAATTTTTTTTTCACCAGCACTCTTCTGCACAGACAAACAGCTAGCGTTGTTAAAACGTTAGGTTGTGCAGTTTCATATGTGCTACACCTCACTGCAATAAGTACTTTGCAAGCAAATCAGCTGAGAAGAAGGGATTTAAATTTGGACACAAAGTCCTTCTGTCAGGCTCTAAACTTTCAGCGTCTTTATTTCCTTGCCTTTAAAGTGCTGTCTCAAATATAGCATAAGTAAGAGGACACACTTACACCTGACAAGGTGTGTACCTTCACATAAACAACCCAACAGAGAGGAAAGCAAGAAATCCAGGTGAAATATGTTACTGTATTTATTAATGTCACATGGATGGTAACGATATTCTAAAAATGACTGTGTATGTTCTTTTTTCTGTAAACTATATTCATGTATTACGTTCCTACTTTGTTCATTTTTGAAAATCCTATTTTTTTAAAAATTAAATGTATAAATGAAACATCAGTTTTATATGTGATGTGCTGCTTTGTTTTAAACTACATTGACATGGTGCAACATAAAGCTTTGTACTGAGTGTTATGTTTACTTTCTAAAAAGGAATTTTTAAATCATTTTTTACTGCTCACTTTCATATATCAGTTTCAGATTTCGTGTTTAGTTGATTTTCAGATTCTTCTTTTCCTTTTTTTATATATATTTGTAAACCAATGAACATGGAAAACATACCAGAAACATTTCCGATTCAGCGAGTCGACATTTACGAGGCGCACCTGAAGCGGCAGAGCGACGCTCTGGTGGTGCGTTCAGGAACGCCCCCGTCTCCCGTTGACAGCCAATAGGATCCAGCGTGGGAACAGGCGTTTAATGACACACTGCTGCTGCGAACTTGGACCTCTTTTCTGGCCCGTCATTTGTGCTGAATAAGTCCGCAACAATGACTCTCCGTGTGTTAGAAATCATCTTTTTCTTCTACTTCGCCTCTCACATTCCCATCACACTGTTTATCGACTTACAGGCGCTGCTGCCTGGACATGTGTACCCGCAGCCGGTAAGTGCTGGTAGCTTAAAATACACTCAGTTTGTTTCTTATTGACTGAGCTGTTTGATTTGTTGCTGGAGTTCAGCTCGTACTGTGTGTCTTGCAGCTGAAAGACTTATTGAGGTGGTACGCGGAGGACTTCAGAGACCCCATGGTGCTGGATCCTCCTCACTGGTTCAAGTCTTTTATATTCTGCGAGGCTCTGCTTCAAACACCTTTCTTCCCCATCGCAGCTTACGCTTTCCTAAAAGGTCAGTAAACATAACACCTGTTCGATTCTGTTGCTTCATGTTATGAAGAGTCTCGTGGGCCAGTATTCACTGTCCGCGGGGGCGCGCACTGCGAGTTAAAGCTGTATCAGGCAGGTAATGCTCGTCCACAGCTTTTATTATCCGGGTCAAAGTGTCATTAAGCAATGGTCTCTTGTGCAATTACCCTCTTGTTTCCGCACCATGTTTCCTGCTCTGTGCTCTACATCATAACAAATCCAGTGCTTTTAGTGGCTGAGTTATCTTTAAAGGACCAGTTCGGCTCATAATGCAGTTTTCCACCTGATAAAAAGTGACTGCAGCTTTGTGTCTGAAATATTAATTGCACCTCTTTAATGAAGTGACTGTACAAGGCAAGGTCCTTCTGGAGTCTTGCCACTCAGCAGCCATCTTGGTAATGACTCTGGTCCCTGTTTAATGAATGAAGAGAACCAGAACTGCTCAGCTGGACATGTGGACATGCATATAGAATCATCCATCAAATCAGATTTAAAAAAAAATAAAAAAATTAAAAACTGCTTTAAAAGTTTGGTGACTTTCCCCTAAAAGCATTCCCCCCCAGAGGTTATATTTCTCCTACACATGTGCACAGTTTGGCTGTAATGAGCTTGTCAGTGCAACAGCACGATTGGTTGAATGATTCCCAGTTTGGTTGTTACAAAGCAGACAATTGGCTGTTTGGAGGAAGGGGCGGGACATGTGTAATCACCGCCAACATTGGCCTTTACTCAAATCTCAGACTGAATTCTATTCTGGATTGTTGAAGTGGGGATTTTCTGCCTTTGGTTATCCTGTATTTTAGAGATTAGAGTTCACAGGACACTTGCAAAAGAGATCATGTAATTAACAATTAAAATTCAGTTGTGTTTATTGCTCTCTGGTTTCTGAACATAAACAATGATATTAGATGTACCAAACACACACACAGCCTAAACGTCAGCAACAATGCTATAGTATTGGCTGCAACTGAAAATATCATGGCTGATTTTGCAATGAACATTTCATTGGTCACAATTATTTGGTTACAATAACATAGCTTTGCCATTACCAAAGATATAAAGTGTTTTTGCACCATGTGAGCGTTTGATCCAGATCAAAGCAGCTGTAGTCGAATAGAAACATGCAGCTTTAAGAATCACGTTTTGGCACAACATCTGTCCTAACATCCAAAAAGGAAATGAATGACATCCATACGCATGCACGCACACAACTTAATTAATAAAATAATTTGGAATGGGTTAATAGTAGTCAGTGTTAGCTTAGTTTTTGGTCTTCACGGTCATGATCACTTAAACTAAATTTGTAAACTAAATTTTATAATTCATCCTACATCCACCCAACCGGTCGAGGCAGATGGCCGTCCCTCCCTGAGCCTGGTTCTGTCGGAGGTGTTTTTTCCCCTGCGGGGGTTTTCGGTTCCTTCCCACTGTTGTGGACTGCTGAAGCTTATAGGGAATCCAAATGTTTTGGATTGTTGGGTGTTTCTGTCTCTGCCTTTGTGAAGTGCTATGAGATGACTTGTTGTTGTAAATATGCGCTATACAAATAAAATTGAATTGAATTAAAAATAGGATTGTTAAATAAGTGATTTCAATTCTGTGAGAGCGTCTATTTGTACATCAGTGAGGATTGTGAGGTATAAAATTATTTAGTATTCAGGTTCTATATTAAAAGTATTTTACCACTTTCATCTAACCATCAATCTATGCCGACAGTCCTGGTTTATTCATCATGATTAGATGTCTATCACACTCAAAATCAATGAATGTGAATGGAGTTTAGCTTTAAGTGCTGATAGTGTTTTTTAAAATGACAAATGCAGAAATAAGTCAGACATAGGGTCTCAGTTATTCCTGTTTAGAGTTTCACTGGGCCCGTCTACCGTAATCCTCCTGCTGCCTGCTGCACCCTCTGCTGATCGCTCTTTTCTTACAGGCAGCTGTAAGTGGATCCGAACTCCTGCCATTATATATTCCACACATGTGGCCACCACACTGATCCCGATCCTGGCCCACATCCTCTTCTACCAGTTTCCTGAGAAACCCCACCCTGGTCCCCGAACCCAGAAGGAGCGCTGGATGCTGGTCTCCATATATGCTCCGTACCTCGTGGTGCCTGTGCTGCTGCTCCTCACCATGCTGCTGTCCTCGACGTACAGCTCCCCCGCCAAGTCTAGAAGCACGTCATCCAAATCCAAGAAGAAGAAGTGAAACACTTTGAGACCACTGCTATCTGATTTACTCTGATTTTCTTCATTTCTGAACAAGGCAGTTGTATGTGACTCTTACTTTTATGTGGGAGACTGTATAACTTCATACACTATTATCAGGGAGAAACATTGTTAAACCAGCCAGAATGAGCACTTTTAATTTTGTTTTTCTTTTTAAATTAAATCCTTGTTTCTTGAGTATGTTTCGTCACTAATGTTAATTAATGTGCTGACAGAGGACTACAAATCCATCCATCCATCCATCCATTCTCTGAACCCAGTGATCCTGTGGAGGGCTGCAGGCAAATAGCCAACACAGAGACAGACACACACCTAGAGCCAGGACTGTAAATGAATTAGTAAATGACCCCCATATACTAATAGATTACCTGACTTTCTCTGTCTTTTCTCATGCTGACATTTTCTGTATTTGAGGCACTTTGCTTATGTAATAAAATACAGTAGACTTAAAATAAGGACACACAGAGGGCGGTAATGACACAAAACAAAAGTCCTTAGCCAGCTTTCAAAGGGGGTGTTGCAATTTTATAGTCAGCATCTTCCACACCACCAGGCTCTCCCAACTGTCATGGCAGAGAAAGAGAAAGAAATAAAGCGACATAGCCCTTTACAACCTAGAAGAAAGGAAGTTGAGGAGATAAATGAGACCTGCCGGTGAGTTGGGTGAAGGAAGCAACATGGAGGAGAACAGAGAGGAGTGACCTGATCTCCCTGGCACAAGTGTAAAAGCACAATCTGGGTTTTCCTAGATGAAAGCTGGTCTATCCTCCATCTAATCTGTTTAGAAGTAGCTGCTGCCTGAGAGGATTGGATCTCCAGAAATTATCCAGGAATTTTCATACTCTCCTCTTTTAGTTTTTAACTCACGGCTATCATTGTAAATGTGCTATGGTGATAACTAAGTATTTTTTAACCCTGATCCAATTCAATTCAATTCCATTTTATTTGTATAGTGCACTTTACATCATATGTCATCTCACAGCGCTTAACAAATAAGGTCCTTACGAATTTAAACAGAACAACAATCCGGAGTTGCCTTTGGACTCCCTCTGAGCAAGCGTTCTGCAACAGTAGGAAGGAACTAAAAAACCTCCGACAGAACCAGGCTCAGGAAAGACGACTATTTACCTTGACCGGTTGGGGTGAGTGGGGGGGGCGGGTTGTAACAGGTCAGCAGATGGGGAGCAAGCAATAGAATAGAACAAAAACTATTTTGGGTGTCGGTGAGGCCAGGGCTGCGGATCAGAGGCGTGAAGCTCCAGATCCAGAGACATCCACAGAGAGAACAAGCACAGGACCTGGCTGTAGTACCTGGTTGTTCCACTAGGTGGAGCCTCATACTGTTTAGTCCTATAGTGATCCAAGGGGGCGTCACTCAGACTACAGGCAGTTCCATGTTGGAAGATTATGGAGATTTATCTAACAACCAGGCACCATGACAAAGACTTCCATCATGCTTAATCACCTCCAGCCAGAACTTAAATTTGGTGACAAGGTAGTAGTGATTAGGGACCTCCTTGCACCTCCTCCTCTGTATTAGGACAAAGCTTATTCTATTTTGTGCAGCCAGAGTACAGAAAGAAATGCTGACTTGTCTTAGACTTACTTCCCCAGAGTTACGTTTACTACAGTGACTCTTATCAATTTGTTGTGTGCTGCTTCAAGTTTGTGTTTCAAAGGATCAGAGTTGGGAATGCTAGCATGATTCAGGTCGCACTGGATCAAGCATGAGGCTGAAGATTTCAAGCCTGTCTGTCAGGTTTGCTGGCCTTCCTAGTTAGATACATGGTTCTGGCATTTATCTTGTTGAGTACATTTAAAACAGCAGCACCTCCTTGGCTGTTGACAAGAGTGCTGCCAAAATAACTAACATCTTGCAGCTAGGAAGACTACAATAGTTTATGTGTTTATAGGATTTTGGAAACTTTTAATTTGTAAAACACTTTGTCAGAAGTTTATGTATGTTCATTATCAAAACATAAATTTTAATGTCAGTGGGAATAAATGCGTTTCTAAAGAATGGTATGGTTTCAACCTTGTATTTTCAAAAGCTAGTGAACAATTTGCCAGAGACACAGAAGGTGATAAATTAAAAAGACCCCAGTCCAGTCCAGTGTATCACCTATGATAGGAATATAGACAGTTCCAACACAGGGCATTGCTCCAAGTGCTTCCTATCTTCAGAAGTGTCACTGTTATTGTTTGTTTTTGCTGAGTAAGACAGGCCTATGACAAGTCTCTAAAGTCAACTGTATGTAGGAACAGTACGTTTTGCAGAGGGACACACTCTCCTCACGTGAACTTATTGTCAGCAGCTCATGGTCCACCACCACTAGTAAGGAGCTCCACCCTCTCCCGCTCTTCTGTTCCCTCTGTTTATCCATGACTAGCCGATTAAACACAGCAATGACTCCATCGTAAAGTCTTCTAATAGGGCGAGTGATCTCTGCCAGAGATGAGTCAGAAGAAGAGAAGAGGAGGAACAACAAATGGCTTAATGTTCTGTCTTTAACCTGTCTCTGAAAGTGACCTAAACAAAAGAATTTGCTGTGACATGCCCTGTGAGTAACAGCAGGGTGGAAATCAGAGGAATCACCAGATTTAAGTTCCTGAGCATGCACACACTGCACAGAAGACCTGGCACGATTTATTAACACATCAGTTTACACATCCTTAGTTAAGTGTGGAGTCTACAGTTTGTAAGAAGTGTGATAAAGGCTAAACTGCCATCAGGGGCTTTCCCGAGCTGAACAAATGACAGTGTAGGAGGGGGATACACAAAAGATAGAGACTTAATAAATGTGTGGTAGAGTACAGAAACTGTACCGTGTGGAACTGCACAGGTGTTAAATTACATAATTAAAGACAGGGGCTTTCAAGAAAACAATTTATTCTAAGAAGTGGTCAAAATCAAAGAAGTAGAGGCGGCAGCATCCTGACTTTTATACAGGTTATATGACGCCTATCAAAACCAGTGTACAAAAGGGAACATTTTTAAACAAGTCAGCACCACAGTTAAATTAAATGAAACCATTTAAGTCCCCTTTAGGCTAAAGTCAGGACTTGGAAACAGTCAGAAGGGCTGTTTGTGAAGTTCTGCACTCTGGCTCACAATGGAGCAATAATTCAGCAACGTAACAAGACTCAAGGTCGTGTCCTATCAGTGAAATTTAGGAAACTCTAAAAGCGACTGGTAACCAGTGATTAAAGACCAAAGCAGGAATAATATGATCGTTTTTTCTTTGAGTTAGTTTAAACTTGAGTAAACTTGTACCTTCAGGTGTAAGAATATTTTTGGGATTAGCCCCAAGTCCATTGATTTGTTGTTGTCCAGGTGTGGTGATATAAAACCGTGTAACGTCTCCTCGAAGTAACACAGAAAAGGAAGACCAAAATCTTTTAGCTACTCCTGAGCTAGAAGAATGTACAAGGTTATAATGCTGTCTGTGCTGGTTTTATTGGTGCTGTTGGTCTTCTGTCTGTTTTCACTGAAAAGCCCAACCAGGGACGGGAGTTGACAATTAGCTTAATGCTATACACTCTATATGCAATACATCAGATGTTTTCGATGTAAAAATGCATGATCCCTGATCAAACAAATAAAGAAAGAAAAGAAAAGAAAGAATGATTAAACCACTTAGAAAACTAATAGAACTACAAAGAGCCTAGGATAGACACTTGAGGAACACCACAAGTCACAGCAGCCGCAGACGAAGAAGCGTCATTTAAAAAGGTTCTGGTTGATAAGTCTGATTGAAACCACTGACTTTTAAAGGCTTTCAAAGTAAGCTGAAGGATTAACAGTATGAACAATCAAAACTGAACAATTTCAATGCATTTCAGTACAACATGTCAATCCATGTCCTTGCTCTGATGATAGTCCTAGTTCAGTTACCATGGTTTTAGTTTACTTCCATCAATATTAAATATCGGTCACAACCTTTACAGCACACAAAGAATAAACTACTGCACCTACTACAGGCCACTGACAGCCTTGTCCCACCTGATTACCACACATTTGCATTTTTTATCTGATTGTGTTCTATCTGATTGTTTGTCCTCTACAGTACAGTCCATCATGCACTACACAGCTGTGCAATCTGACAACAAGCCAATAAAACAGTCATGCAAAAAGTCTGGTCTTTGTGACTCTCACAATGAAACAAAAATCGCATTCAGAGCAATGCAGTCAGTAGGGCAAACTCTTTAGCTCACTTTAGATAGCTTTAGGATGCCATAAGAGTAAAACCTGTGGTCCAGCATAAAAGCACAAAACACATACAGATGTGCTTTCCTTGTGTTTTTACTGGGCTGCTGGAAAGTCTAGTTAACATGGTATACATGTCAGTAAAAGCTTTACAGCTTTACCATTTCACTTCTACATCTGCTCCTCTCACTCTCATGTATGCACAAGTGTCTTGTTGTTCAAAAAGTAATAAAATAAAACAGTAAACTTTCAATATCACCTCAGCAACCGGAAAATATTGTGATGTTAGACTGGTGCGTAGTCCATTGTTTTAGATAATTACAAAAACACTAGATTATGAGGAAAAGTAATAAGCAGAATGGTGAATGGTCTAATAAAGATGCTAATTATTAAAACAATTACAAAAAAACTGGCTTGTAAACATGACTCCCTGTCAGGTGATTACAGAGCCAATGGGCCCTGTTAACAGAACCTCAGTCGCCTGTTTTCTGCCGCAGACTTTGGAAGGCCAAACAACATCACATGTAGAGGTACAAAGTTTAATGAAAGCAGTAGCAGGTTAGAGTGATGAATCCATACTGATAATGAGATTCATCAGACAAGGCTTTCTTGATCTGTGACACCTGAAGCCCTTCAACCTGTACCTGCTTGATTTTGCATTGCACTGTTGCAAAATAATTGTATAGTTGATTGTATAATTCCTTGAGTAAGCAGGTGTATTGTTGTGGTGCTTGGTGAATTAACATCCTACAGCAGGTAACAGATAATCTAGCACAGTTTGACAAAGCAATGACCACCTCTACTGGTGTTTTTTCTTTTCTTTTCTTTTCTTTTTCTAGTTTAAGGGGCTCAAACCAATGGCCCTAGTATGCAGGGAAGACACAGCTTGACAAATTCAGTTTTTCAAATCTGCTCACTGACCTTGTCTTGGGCAGCACATGTTATTTTGGGTGCCACCAGAAGGCAAAAAACT